CCCAGCTAATTCTTCAACCTGCATTTCACATAGTATTTCACCAGATAAATGGTTTTTCTGTTCTTCTTCTACCATTTTCTTTCTTAGATCTGCCTTTGGAATGAAGAAAAAACTGAAAATCAGTTTTCATCCCAGTAGTATTTGTCATATAAAGACAAGTTTAATTAAAGAGAGCAAAATACCTCTGAATATATTGTCAGTTTAAGTGGTAAATCTTCAACTTTCACAAAGTCTTCTTCATCAGATTTTTGACTTATGTTACCAGATTCTGCTTCCTGTAAGATAAATTATATTTAATGAAGGCAATCCACTCTATCTCTGGATCTAAGTCTTTAAAGTCATCCATGCCAAGGATAAAATGGATTCGTATATACAAGCGTACATCAGTAATTCTGTCCTATTTGGTTTTTTTCTGTGTTCAGCTCTATGAATAAAGCAAAGCTGGAGTGCACAGGAAGGGCCATGTACTTGTAGCTGTGGGCCATACTGCTGAGCGTTTCTGTCCCCATTTGAAAAAACAAAGAGCCAGCTTATACAGGTTAAAGGAAGAAACAGTAGTTACACTGAGGGCTAAAACCATCAGAACAACAACTCTGGTTTCCTGATAATGTTTACGGAACGCATCAGCGTGTATCCAGCAGAATTTACATACAGGCTTTCAGTATCAACTCCGTGGAAGCTGAGAAAGATGAGGTATGAATCTAATAACTCACTTTTGTGATCACTTCAGTGTCTAAAACTTGAATTCTTTTATTCTCCTAGTTCTCCTTTCTGATTTTTAATAGTACCATTTTACCAATTACCCAAGTAGAAACCTTAGATTTTTCCTCCTCTTTCAACATTTCTCACCCATCTCTCTCATTAAGCTTGTACTTGGTTCCTATGGTAAGGGAACCTCCTAATGTAGCATCCTTGACAACAGTCATCAGTCATCAGATTCATTTCAAAAACCCTGACTTTGGCCATTTGACTTTCTTGCGCAAAGCCCTTCAGTAGTGTCCCCTGCCTAAATTTCAAATTCAAGTCCCTCTATAATCAAACTTTAAGTTAATTTCACTTGACTGCCTCCTAGAGCAACTCTATGCACTCATTAAATGACAGTAAGAATAAGTCTAACAGGTAACTTTCAGAGTTGTAAATGGTAATTTCACTGTTGGTGAAGCCATCAAAATGGTTAAATTACTCTTTCTAGTAATGGTTTTGAAATATTATAGGCTTCCTTTCTGAGAAATTAGGAAATCATAATTGTAACTCTATCTTTAGGAAGAAAACTAATGTTAATTAAAAAAAAATGAAACACTCTATTTAGATCTAAAAGTACATTGTTATAAATTCCTCAATTTTTGCCAACAAGAGAAAGTATATAAAACGCAATCCAAGATCCAAAATATAACCTACATGCTATAAAATTAAAGTGAAACAAAAACGTCCAGAGTAAAACTCAGCTTACGTACCTACATCCTAAGTACAGATTTGCTACCATATATTTCCGTCATTTACGGTAAGGAGTCTACTGCTGTCAAATCGTAAACTTTTAGGTTTATCAAAGATTTATGAAATGTTCTAAAATTGTTGAGATGTCAAGCCTGGGCACTGTAAGAGATTAATGATGATTCATACATCATGTGTTCGGGTCTGACACTGAACTCTCTCAAGGTTGCCACCTAAAACTCAAAATCTGGGTCATAAACTTATAAAAAAGTAGAACAGCTTTTAGGTTTTGATATATGATCATCTTAATTCACTATCACCCTTCTGTTCAAGTGTAAACTAAGTTTAACTAAGAAATTTTTTTTGGCAGTTTCTAAACACAAACACAAACAAACCTAAACACAGTCTGTGTTTACAGACTGAAAATGTTAACCTGAAAAGGAAGAAATCCGCATAGAAATGAAATGTAGATGATACATACATAGTCATTCACTAACACCGGAGATTCAGTATCAGGACTTCCAGCCAGAGAGCTCTCAGGAGTTTCCTGAGCAGATTTAACTTCTTTGACTGTAGGCACCAAGGTTTCAATTTCAGTTAAAGGTAAAGGCAAAGGGTTAGGCTGTTTAGATGAATCAATGGTAGTGAGAGAGTCCTTCTGGACAGCGCTATTTAAAGGTTGCTCGTTTTCCAAGATATTGAGGTAAGAGGGTTTCACGGGAGTGCTATCTTGGTCATCTGTCATCAAAAGAAAGTCTCAACTTTAGTGTAATGCAACAGTTGTTAAATTCACTATTATACCAAATAGTATGTATGAGTAGGTAATCAAGACCTTTAAGACTCAAAAGACAACTACAAATTTTTCTTATCAATGATTCCTAAAACTAGTTGATCAGATTCGTCTGGGAATGTTTTAAAAATCAAATTCCTGAAATCCACCCAATTTCTAATGAAGTATGATATTCATGAGTAATACCCAGGAATGGGTATTTGAAAAAAATCCCCCATGTTTGTATCTAAAGAGGTTTTCTTTGAAGACTTTTTCTGTGTGTTTAATTATTTGTCAGCTTTGCTTGAGCAGCTGTTTGCAGAAACAAAGCCCTCATGTTTTCTATAAAGGATTTAGGGGAAGAAGAAAAGACATACCTCAGGTCCAAAATACCTTCAAACTTACATTAGCTAAGAATTTAGATTTTTTTTTTTCTTTAGCTTTTAAGCACATAAAGGGCACTTTAAATAATCTTAAAATTGATTTCTTTAGATTTAGATTTCTTGCCTTTACTAGTAGTGGGTTCTTGTTCTGATGAGAAATTTTTGCTTTCTCCTGATTTTTCAAAGCCATGTTGTAGTACCTAGAAGGAAAAAGTGATGTCTTAATAGCAGGGCCTAAAATATATGGCCATTATATAGGAGATGGTTAGGAGTGTATAGTGTCTGTCCAACCTGAGACCTTCATACAAGGGAATTTAAAAATATCTTCTGAAAGTGTTTCAAGGAGGAGGCTGTAGTTGAAACTTTAAGATGGCTAAGTAAAATGTTTCATTTTCTTCTTAACCTCAAAATAATAGAGAACTAGAGTATTACGGATTCCACTATTTTTTTAAATTTTCTTTTTTTCAAATCACACTCTATCTTGAAAGAAACTAAAAGATACCCATTTATATGTAGATGTTAAGTGAATGGAAGAAGAACTGACCAGGAGGGGAGAAAGATAAAGCCAAGTGTCTTCAGGAGGAGGAGAAAACAAAATCAGATTCACCTCATGCTTGGAAGAGGAATACAGCGGTGGATGAAAAGAGGGTGGTGCTGGTGGTTCTCTGAAGCTGTTAAAAGAAAATGCAAACATAGAGGTTCCCTCCCCCAACTTTAACAGAAAATGGGAGATTTTGGTAAAACTGAACTAGTGAGCCTCAGACCTGGGGGTTGCCAGGGGTAAGGGTGGGGTGCAGAAAGCACAGATGAGGACAGGATAAAATGTCATGCTGAAAACAGAAGGATTCAGCCCAAGTCTGTATAGTGATGGGACCCTCAGCACCACTCCCACATCGAGCTCCTGAACACAGGCAGCCAAGGAGGTATAAATACCTCCTCCCCGGCAAGAGGAGAATGGAAGACCCTTCTTTGGAGAAACAAACCACCCCAGAGAAAAGACCAACAGGTATTAACATTTGGGATTTTCTGTCAAAAAGCTATCTACCCAGGCGCCCTACAGTGAAACCCAGAACAACCCCAACCGGCTTTCTGGTGTATAATTTTTTAGCATTAACACTGAAGGTACCACAGACATTTGAAGAAAGCCTCCAGGTGGGTAAGAGAAGACAGTGCTTCTTTTAACTAATAGCATGCTATAAAAAAGTAATCAGAAAATAATAGTATTTAGAAATTAAAAATATGACATTCATGTAAGTTATTAGTCAAAGAAATCTCCCAGAAAGTAAAACAAAAAGAGCAAGGGGACGATAAAAGGAAGAGAGAAGAAAATCAGAAAATCAACCCATGAGGGCTAATGATGTCTGATAATATTAATTCCAAGAGGAATGAAAGGATAAAATGGTGGGGAAGCAATACAAAAAAAGAAAATTTACCAAAATAAAGGACATGGTTATTGACTGCTTACAGACCCACTGAGTACTCAGTAGTGAACGAAAAAAGACACACAACAATGTCTATCACTGTAACACTTCAGAACTCCAGGGGGGAGAGCTCTAGTGTGGGCAAGAAAAAAGAATACAAAGAATCAGAACTGAAAAAGGCATCAGCCTTCTCAGCAGAGGCACTGAAATGTTTCAACATGGAAGAATTTAAGATTTTCTTAGACCTATAAAGTCTCAAAATATTTATCTTTCATGCACTCTTTCTCAGAGAGGTACTAGAAATGTGCTCTACCAAAATGAGGCAAAAGGAGGACAAGACTGGATTCCAGAAACAGATGGAATAAATGACAAAGGGGATTCCCAGGCTGCTAGCTAGTGAGCAGGTCTAATGAAGAGCAAAGCCAGGATGGAGCAGGAAGGACAAACTGACAAACTGGTACATGCAGAAAAGTCCCCTGAGAAGTTTATACAGCTGTTGTTGGGCAGAACAAAGACTTGGGTATGTGGTCAAAGAAAATCAGGCAAATAAAAAAATGGAGACAATTATTAATTTCAAGTGAAAAAAATGTATGAGACTAAGCAATAAACAGTATTTGCTTAGTTCAACAGTTGGTAATATTTATGTAGTTTGTTTAGATCTACGGTTAAATGTAGATTTAAGCAAAAGATACAATTAAATGAGGATAGGATTAATATAATTAAATGAGGAGTAATTAAGTGACCTAAAAGTCTTCACCTACTGTAATAGGAAGTCAACAGAGAATGTCATACTATTCAGAAATAGAGAGTTATGTAACCAAAGAAATCATACAAAGTGCTACCTATGGGACAAGATGAGGTGGAGGTAGGAAAGGGAATGATTTTTATTATATACTGTTTCCATGTATGACTAGGAAATACATAAAGATACATGAAAAATCCAGATCTTCTAGGTAGGTTGACCCCCCACCCCCCCAAAAAAAGATTAAAGTGCTTTATATATAAGCACTGCTAAATATAAAAATAAACTAGTGTTTGATTGAGATTTCAGTAAGGATATTAAAAAGATTTGTTTATTCATGAAAACGAGAACAGGGAAGCTGTAAATTCTGACATCCTCAAAAAGGATCTGCCTTCAGGAGTTAAAGAAGACTGGGGAAGATGTGCTAGTGTGGACTGGAATACCTGATCATCGTGTTCAGTTTCTTCTATAGCTTCGGTGTTAGCCTGAAGTGAAGTCTGGACGTCCACAGGTCCCTCTTCAAATTCTTCTATTTCTTCATCCTCATTCTCATCTTCTCCACTTCCATAATTAGTCAAAGCCTGAGTTTCAGCTTTGGACAAGTCTAAGTTGATTAATACACAGTTTTTAGTAAATTTTCAGCACTAAATCTTAAGAGCTGCTACCAGGTACTGCATTCCTGCATTGCCCAAGTCCTTTACATACAATATCTGAAAGCTTCCGAACAGTAGGCAGTAGAACACTGTGGTGCAGAAAGGACAGGGCATCTGGTCAGGGCCACACCAGACCGTTCAGAGTTGTTGGACACCTAACTCTACATTCACTACAATCCACCCAAATGTTGGGATAAGTGACTGATAAAGAGCCAACATATAAACCCAGTACAGAGCCTTTACACTTACTAATAGACACCGGACATTCTTCACTTTCTTCATCTTCCTCTTGATCAGAAACATCCGATCTCACATTTTTGGGACCGTCATCAACATACATCTCAGATGTCTGAGTCTGCTTAACTGTTTCAGTTTCATCCTTGTCCTAGCCACAAATACACGTAATGAATTCCTTAAAATACATTTTAAAAGGTATACAGTAAGCTCATCACAAAAATAGTCATGATCTAATAAAAAATACAAAAAGTTGTTATTTTTAAGAGAAAATAAAATTTTGTCAGAAGAAAGGCCATTTGATGATAAAGCTTTCTCTCAAACATTAAGGTAAAAGCTATTAAAGTTATTTATCTTTTGTCCCAAAAGCACTGTTTTTAGGCACAAATTAATTAGCCACTTACTTTGTCTTCATCATCAATTTCTCCAACAGGTGAGCCATGATCTCCTTCAAGAATCCTTTTGGCCTTATGAGCAAATTAAACAGAATTCAGGGGTGACCTTTCAGCATTATACTTACTCAGTAACTTTAACAAATGCTGCAGTTTTTGACCACAGTCCAAAGAGTCGAATGCTTTTTTAGAAATGCAAATTCAACTCTTCCATTGAAATCTTTTAAATTAGCCAAACAAAAATCAACACTGCTTACCAGACATCTCCCTGAATAATGAGCATCTCAAATTCATTAATTCCAGAACAAAAACCTTGACTCCTCCCTCCCCAAACCCCAGCCTCCTTCAGTCTTCCCAATCTCAGTAAATGGCCCTTCATGTACCCCATGCACAAGTCAGACACCAGGAAGCAGCCTGGACTCTACCTGTATTATCCACATCTAAACCCTAAGAATGCCTCATTGACTCAGTCGTCAAAATGGATCTGCTGGTGCGCACTCGGAGCTAAGTCACATCATTTCCTACCTGCACTACTGCCAAAAGTCTTAAAACTCGTCTCTGCTTCTATCTCCTCTCCTACATTTCTTATACAACACGGTATCTAGACCGATCTTTTTACTGCACATGAGATTATGTCCCTCCTCTATTTCAAAATTTCCCATGGGTTTCCATCATGCTTAGAATAAAATCAAATAGAAGGTCCTTACCGCTGTTGCTAAGGCCCCATAGTTTGGCCTTACCTACCTAGGTGACCTCATCTCCTACACTCTCACCTCTGATGAGGTGTTCCTGCTACCCTGGCCTTCTATAGGTTCTCCAAACTGCTCAACCCTGTCTCAAGAGTCTTTGAACTTACAGTTCTCTCTGCCTGGAATGTTCTTCCCTTTCATCTTCATTATAAACTCCTTTCTTGCCTTAGTTCATACTTCACCCACTCAAACAGCCTCACGAGACTGCCTATCTTAAAGTAGTCTTTCCAATCATTTATTATGGTTTTACTCTGTTTTATTTTCTTCAAGCTCTTGGCAATGACTGAAATGATCTGAAACCTATCTATATCTAGAGTGAAAATATTAAGAAAAGTGTGAAATGGATGGCTTGACTTTTATCTACTTTAGATTTCAGGGAGAAAGGTTACCTCTTTCTGTTTTGGGTCTTGACGTGCCTTCTCATGATTAGAGAGTCAAGAGGAGGGAAAGGTCTAAGAGAGAAACCTTCTGGTATGCCTCAAGTTGAGGGGAAGAATCCCATCCAAGTTCATATGTGATCAAACTAATTTAATAAGGTATAAGAAGCTACTGAGATGTGCAACCAAAGTCCTAACTTGTAAACAAGCATGTGTGTTGGTTGGGGTGATAAATACACCTGGCAGATCCGAGATCTGTCAGGGTTGAAAGAGCTACTGCAGACAGCTGGTCAAGGACAGGATCCCAGTCCTCCTCTCCTCTCTGGAGACATGAGTGACAACAATGTAAGACAGCTGATAATTCCTGTCACCAATTCCTGTCTGCATTCCTGATCTTTTAGCCAGTGCTGTCACATCTGAGATTCAGTATGTGGCTAGCATATGTACTGATTTAGGTAATCTGATTAATTGCTATTACTTAGAAAATATGTTAGCTGAGGTCAAGTATGGTTTTAGTTAATAATGATCAAGCAATATATTTTAATGCTAATTATAACTAGTCCTAAATTCAAAATGAATGTCATTTACCTCTTTGGCATAGGACTGTATCACTCCAGCTGCTTCTATTTTCCTTTTGCACCTCTGTTTGACAGTTATACTATTGTTATCCAAATCTTGCATGAGCTTGAAGAAAGCCAATTCATTAAACAACACTTCAGATATCTCTACGAGAAGATCTTCTCCACAGTCTTTCAGTTTTCTGCCAGCAAATTTTGCCAGTGAATCCTATTCAAAGATAAACCATGTAATTTTAAGATTATAGTAAACTTCAATGTGGGTAGAGCAATACAGAGGATTAACAAGTTTAAATTACAATACTCACCTAGGGAAAAACAATTTTATTATTTTTAGTATGAAAAAAGCTAAAACTAATGGCTAAGATTACTACACAAAGAGTAATATTTGTTTTTAAAGATTTTATTTATTTATTTGAGGGAGAAAGATTGAGAGTGAGAGAGCATGAGCAGGTAGAGGGAGAAGCAGGCTCCCCACTGAGCAGGGAACCCGATGCGGGACTTGAACCCAGGACCCTGGGATCATGACATGAGCCAAAGGCAAACGCTTAACCGACTGAGCTACCCTGGCATCCCATTCTTTTTTTTAAAGATTTATTTATTTATTTTGAGAAAGAGAGAGAGAGAATGAATGAGCAGGGGGAGGAGCAGAAGGAGAGGGAGAGAATCCCAAGCAGACTCCCCAATGAGCATAGAGCCCTACATGAGGCTTGATCTCAGGACCCTGAGACCATGACCTGAGCAGAAACCAAGAGTTGGGACATTTAACTGACTGAGCCACCCAGGTGCCCAAGATAGTAATATTCTTTAGTGATACTAACCTAAGTAGGAATCATGCCAGTCTCCTCTAAAGAGTATACAAAACGAAAAGAACAGGGCAGGTGATCATCCATAGATTTAGTCCCTAATTAATAGAACTGGTGGCCACAAATGAGTAAATCAGGGGATACATATTTACCACAGTGAGAAGCTGAGGTGCCCAGGAGGAAAATACAAAGTCCTCCCTTTCTCAATGTTAACATCAGAGTACTTCTCAAGTTCCCCCATTTTATATAAGCCAGGCAGTCATTCTAATTTAAACTTTTTCTTCAGAATCAATTTAAAAGCAAATGTTAGTCCTACTCAAGTTGAAATACAGCATCATCAGATAAATAAGTCAGCTATATTCTAGACATTTTTTATAAAACTGCATTTCTTTTTCTTCCTAAAAATATGAACTATGCATTTTGAAAACCAGCAAACAACTATGTTCTGTGTCTCCTCCCTCCAAAAAACCACCTCATCTAGCATAATTGTGGAAGAAGTACAAATGTGGCTGCCTCATAAAAAAAAAAAAAATTCACTGAATAGGTTTCTTAGAGAAAAAAGTAGAAGATAGTATTTTAAGCTCTACCTCATGAAAAATTTTCAGTAGTCTGGGCAAGATTTACTGTCAACTAATCTTTATTCTTCTCTAGGTCCCTTTGTGGAAAAAAAAAAAAAATCAGGAATGGGATATAAGAAAAGCAGCCAGATTTTCTCAGAAAAAAATCTTATTTTCAAACTAATACTTTGGCATCTGTCTCAATTATGTAACAGTAGCCAAAACTGAGGGAGGATTGCACAGATCTTGAGAAACAATTATAAAGGATTTCTCTTTGAGCCTGATTCTGGAATGGAGTTATTTCTTTCTGTAGGAATAAACTAAAGTTTTGTGTTTTTTTTTTAATATTTTATTTATTTATTTATTTGACAGAGAGAGAGTGAGAGCACAAGCCAGGAAACAGAGGGAGAAGCAGGTTCCTCGCTGAGCGGGGAGCCCGACATGGGACTCGATCCCGGGACCCTGGGATCATGACCTGAGCCGAAGGCAGCCGCTTAACCAACTGAGCCACTCAGGCGCCCCTACTTAAAGTTATAAAAACATATTTATCTAAAAATTATCCTAAACATTTTTAAACTGCATAACAAGAGAGATGTCTTACAGTCCTTATAGATGTGTTAGTTACAATTAGATTAAATAGAGCCAGCATGACTTAAAACCTATTATTGAATTTATACTTTACCTTAATAAAAACAAAATGGAAAAGTATAGTGATGGAAATTTGCATCAAACCTCGGGTTTTAAAAGTTATTAATAGACAAAGTGATAATACTTTCTCTAAAACCAATTTAAACACAGGAATAGGAGGAAGTAAGGAACAGTTTTATGGGAAATTTTTGTAATAAAGATGAAAAGAAAAACATATTTCCTAGTTTGGAGTAATAATACACATCACTGAACTATCTCAATGGGAAAACAAATCAGTGTACTGAACTGTAAAGATGTTTATTATATGAAGTAAGGTATCCTTACTTAACAAAGGGATCCACCTCAGCACTATTAACATGCCACAGGATGTTAGTACCACCCACTTTCTACCTGTGTGACAAATGTCTGCGGGCATTGCAAAATTGCCCCCAGTTGAGAATCATGACCTTAACATTAATTTAAAGTTACTATTACAGCCTAAGAAGTCTCTACAATCAACAGATGGTTTCTGGTTTCTAAAACTTCCCACACCGGAAAAAAATTATTTTAGAAAATATCATAGAATATCATAGAATACTTCCTAAACAACCTTGAAATGTTCTTACTGGGTAGGAGAAAAATCAAGACAAAATTTTATTATAGTTTGGCTAGGCCTTAGAGATGAGAGAGTCAAAGGAAGACATAGGCCCTAATACAATTTTTTTTTTAAAGATTTTATTTATTTGAGAGAGAGAAAGAGCAGGGGGAGAGTGAAAGGGAGAAGCAGGCTCCTCACTGAGCAGGGAGCCTGATGCGGGGCTTGATCCCAGGACCCTGAGATCATGACCTGAGCTGAATGCAGACACTTAACAATTGAGCTACCCAGGCGCCCCATAATACAATATTTTTTTAAACCAGATAAAGGAATAACCTAAAAAGGTATTGAAATGTCATCCCCAATGGATACCAGAATGGACATTTATTTTAATAAATTGCATATTGCCAGAAAATGGCAAAAAAAAAAAAAAAAATCCCAACTAGAGGGTATATGTTGGTAAGTCATACAAGTATAAACTCTTACCTGTAATATACTTCCCAATTGTTTATGAAAGAACTTTACAAATTCTTTGCTCTCATCATTTTGCTGGGTGAGAGTCAAAACCATACGTCTTACTGAAGTTAGAAGTTGAGAAGAGCATACTTCATCCATGTGCTCCTGAGAAAAACCCTAGTTGGTTAGGATGTAAACTTACCTATTGTTTAAAAAATATTAGTTCACATGAGACTGTTTTTTCTTGCATAGATGCTACTCAACTTTCAGATACACATTTAGAAATATCTGTTCATAAGAGCCAAACTCCTGCACTACACATGTTAAGGGGTTTGTACCTTTTGACCCACCACAGCAGGTAACAGCCGGTAAAAAGAAACGAGCTGATTCAATACTTTTCATTACTTCCTTCCTGTATCTTAAGGGGAACTACTCATGCCCTCGTCACCATAGTGCCTGTCTCCCCATTTGCAGTTCAGTTCATTCCAACTGCACTCTTACAACTCACCTCATGCATCTTCAACCTCCGCTTTCTCAGCCCCATTCAGCATTATGGACATTCTGTGCAGTGCGGGAGGTTCAGCAGCACACTCGGGCCTCCACCCACTAGATGCCAAAAGCACCCTCCACTCTCCCAAGTCCTGAGAGCTAAAACTGTATGTAGACACTACAAAATGCTTTTAGGGTCAAAATTACCCCCAGTTGAGAACCACTGTCCTAACTTTCCGAACAAGCCTTTTTGGGCGTCTCCTCTTCTCCTTCATCTTCCTTTAGAAGCACGTGCAAACTACCTAATAATCCAAATCATGGTTCACTTTTGGAGGTGAGTCCATAAAACACCCACATCAAGTACCTCAAGGTTCTCATCCCTCTTCTGGGCCACTAAACTCATTTGGGCAGGTCTTCTAACCTTTACTCAGGTAAGTTCATGTTCTGATTTTTTTTCTATAGAAATGTATGAAGTGAGGTGGCTAAACTAGATGATTTCTAAGATTCCTTAAATTGAAGGAATTAAGTCGTTTTTTTAAAAAATCATGTGACAGAGCAGGCAGTTAAAAAAAAAAAAAAAAAAAAGGACAACAGTCCCTTGTCTTCAAGAGATCAAATACCAGAGGAAAAAGTCAGATACATGAACAATCAATCACTACATGCTATTCACTGTCCAACAGATGATACTTTTTAATTCCAGGGACTGTTTCTTATTTATCACCTAGCACAGTGGCCAGCTCACAGGAGACACTCATTACTTGCTGAATATACTGGTATCTTAAAAGCAGCACACACTGGGTTCTGCAAGGAGTTATGGTAGCATATTAGAAACAATAATTATCTCTGAAGAAAGGGTATTTCTGCCAAGCAGAGAAAGAGTGAAGGAATTTTATATTTTCAATAATGACAACTTGTACAAAGGGCTGATATATGAAAATGCAATGGCTGGAACAGGAAATGCTGAGTAACCTGAAGTGAGTGAGTGAGTGAGGGGACCAGATGGAGAGTGGGGAGAGATGGAGCTGGGGAAGTATACGAGGTCCAGTAGTGAAATCTCTTGAAGGCTAGGGAGTCTGCTTAGTAAACATTCATTTCATGCCTACCATGACAAGCTGTCTAGGCAAAACATGAGGATCTGAATTAAGGTTATGCTATTGGAGAGAGGAAGGAAAAGTGACTGCTCTTAAGGGGAAAATCAATTTTGACTCACTGGTGATAGAGGGTATGAGAGTCAAGAAGTCTAGCTTAGGTGACTGGATATAATGCTGACATTAACAAAGAAGTTCTATAATCCTACCAAGAAAGTCAAGATTTGAAGTGAAATGAGACATAACAAAATAGTTAAAATCAGATCATTAGTTCTACTCATTTTGTTGGCCTCAAAAGCTTTTTGAAATGCTAAATTTAGTAAGTGAATATTTATGAGGGGCTATCAATTAAATCAGACACAAAATGGTAAAAGCAATAAAATTTCCTAACTGTAGATGACTGCATTCCCTAAGCATAAACCTAAATCATTTAGATTTTTTTAAACCTTAGAAAGTAACTGTACATAATAAATATTGCTAGCCGTATACGTAATTTTACCAAAAAAGACATGCTTAAAAGTGTTTATTGGATCACTCATGATAAAATAAAAATGTAAAACAAAAAAGGCAACACTTATCTATGCCTAAGATGAAAGCAAGTAACCGCTTACACAGTTTAAGTCAACTCACCTGAAGGAATGGTTTCAAACTCTCAAATATATCTACCCATCTATCTACATGAACATATGCACATTCTTACAACTTACAGGAGGTGAGTACATATTTTACAAATAACGGGAAATAAATTCACAGAATAACTGATGAAACTGATGTGTTTTTAGCTTTCTTTTGTTTACCTGTTATTTTCTGAATTTACTACAGTGAAGTCTTTTGTAAGAATTAAAGAACAAAACGCAAAGTATTTATTTTAAAAAAATTACTGCTTACCTTCAAAAAAGGAATGACTTCTTTCATAATGGCTTTAATTTGCCGGTCCAGCTGCTGAGTATCAATTCTAGGACATGGGACAGTAGAAACTTCGCTTACAGGTTGTTGTGAACCATGATTTTCAATAGGAGTTTCTATTTTTAAAAAGAAAATGATTTGTTAGCAAAATAAAGCCTGTGACATTATAAATACACATTTATTCAGAATTCTAAATATTAAAATCTGATGATTTTACGCTAACACAAAGGAGCATTTATGTAGTTTTAGCACCCTTAATGACTAAAAGAAAGTGGCAATAAAATTATTATATATCAGGTGGGGCTATACACTTTCTTTACATATGGAACTGTAGTTTCTGTACTTTTACTCAGCGGAAGAACACACCTTCTGAGTTAGTAACCGTACTCCTGGCGGCAGCACCATCCTTATCAAGAATCCTGCAGGTGCATCTTCTGTTTGGGCTACTTTCAGCCTCAGTCTTCATACGCTCGTATTCCCTCATTCTGGCTAAAGCCTGATCTAAGTGAATCACAGTGTTACCTACATATGAAACAGAAACATTGAGAAAATATAAAAGCAAACTTTATCATGTATTCCTCACAACATATTAAAAAAAACAAAAACAAAAAACGTCTAACTGTAGGTAAGGAAAAGTAGCTTTAACAAGTTCCAGACACTATACTAGTTTGGTGACTTGGCATACATTACTCTCTTAGACTCTGAGGTCCATATTGATTTCACTAGTCATCATACTGCTTCATGTAAAAATAAATCCCAAGATGTCACCCAAATTCTGAGGAAAAGGATCCAACTGAATATAAGCAAGTAATAAGGAAAATGCCTAAGAAAAAGATTTCCCAGTTTTCCTTTGTCCACTTCAGACAAAGTTAGTGAAGGATTTTGAGGAAAAAAATCAGTAAATGAAACAAAACAGATAGGACTCAAAACCATTTGGTAACTCAGAAAGGGGGAATAAACTCAAGGGGAAAGGGAGATCTTTCTCTGAAATGATCAGTTTAGACTTGACAGGTATTTACTCAGAAGGGAGCTAGGCTTAGAGTCCATGATAGTCAAGATAAGACAAAAGGAAGACTTACTGCTTTGGTAAAAGGTGTGTATCTAATAACAGGGCAAGGCTTGGCCCTTTTCTTTGTAGGCGGCCTTTGGAATTATCTAAATCTTGTTCTCATCATATGAACAAACACTAGAATAATAGGACTTAGATCCTTTTATCAACTGAGTGCCCTGGAGGTCTGAATGATTGAATCTCAGTTATCTCTTGATAGGCTACAGCCAGGAAAATGAATCGGGTACCTATACATTTTTCTTTTCCCTACTCTCCTTTCCAAGTCTGGGACTCTGGGTTTTCTTCTTCCCTTTGAGTTATACAACCCTCCAAGCTTCTGTTTTACTAATGACGAAAAAAAAAAAAGCACAATGCATCATGCACATTCAGTTACCTGGGTTTCTCACTAAAGATTATCTATGCTAAGAAATTTCAGTTATTGCAAATTATGAAGTGAATACTGTTATTGAAAATGTGATTGGATGAGGCCCTGATACCTCTGAATTTTTCCCATTAACTAGAAAACCTTAAAGGATGACCTTTCCCTTACAGGAAGGAAATTAACATTTCTTCAGTTCCTATTATACATGCTAGAAAATTCTATATATTTTTCAAAGAACATAGAGCAAGATAGGTAGGACTCCCATTTCCTTACAACATGTAATCAGAATGATGAGATGATTTGCCAAAGGCTAAAGAGTTAACAGGAGATTCCTGACTTTACACTGAGAGACTTTGAAGTCCAAAGTCTTTCCAACACATCTTAGCTTTTTTGGACTTTTGTTTCTTAATCAATGTAATTCAAAGACTGTATTAAAGTCATGTTCTAAGATTATAAAAAATTCTGCTTACCTAGATCATCTGTTGCAAAAGGCTCAAAATTTGAAGATACAGACATGACGCTAGCATTATCAGCATCATTTTGCTCACTTATTTTATGTGTTTCTCTCTCAAAGTTCTTCTCAAAAGTTTCCTAAGTTATAGTTTAAAAAAACAAATAAAAATCACTAATATTTCTTTTAAAAATTTTATGATGAAGATTAAAAATTTAACATAGAAACTAAGTATTTGCATAAAACTACATACTTAAAATTGGGATATAACCGAAGTTATTAAAGGTTGAACAGTCACAGAGAACATTAAAATATTAAATAATCTTGCAGAACATATGTCATTAAGTAGATAAAAATACACAGAGCCAGCTACTAATTAAATTCTAACTTGGAAAACTAAACATTTTAAATTATTTCTACACCCTCAGGGAAATTTTCCCATCTCCAAAGCCTAACAATTACTAGGACCTTACTATATCTGGTTTTATCAGAAGAAAAACATGACAGCATCATTCGTATTTTTTTTTTAATGAACTTTATTGAAATATAATTTACATACAACAGTGCACCCATTAAGTGTACAGTCTGATGTTCTAAAAATATATATATATACACCCATGTAACCACTTTCCTTAAAGATAAAGACCATTTCCATCAGCCCAGAAAGTTCCTTTGTATCCCTCTGTAGTCAGTCTCCACTACACCCCGCTCGTAAGATTTCTATCACCACAAATCAGCTTTTCTGGCTCTAGGACTTGATATATAAATGGAACCATTCAGAATATACTCTTCGGTGTCTGGCTTCTTTTCTTTTGCTCAATAGGCTTCTGACATTAATCCATGTTGTCATGTGTTTCAGAAGTTCATTATTTCTGAATGGCTGAATAGTATTCCATTGTAAGGATATACCATATTTTGTTTATCCATTTATCTGCTGATGTTCCGGTTTGAGGCTATCATGACTAAAGATACTATGAACATTAAAATACAAATGTTTTTGTGGACAATATGTTTTCATTTCTCTTGGATGAATACCTAGAAGAAAAATCCCTTGGTCACATGCCAAGTTTAGGTTTAACTTCTTTTAAGAAATGGCCAAACTGCTTTCCAAAGTGGTTGTACAATTTTATAATCCCATAAGCAGTGTGAAAGTTCTAATCGCTCTACATTCACACCAACATTTCTTACTGTCAATCTTTTTAATTTCAGCCTTTCTAGTGCATGTGAGGAAATTTCTCATGTGGTTTTAATTTGCACATTGGCCACCATTTATAGATCTTTCTTTTATGTAGTGCCTGTTCAATCTCTTGCCCCTATCTTACCGAGTTGTTGGTCTTATAATCAAATTGTCAAAGTTCTTTATGTAGTCTGGATTTGTCATTTATATAGTCATTATCAGATATGTGTACTAAAATTATGTTCTCGTAATGGTGTCTTTTGAAAAGCAGAGGGATTTTATTTTTAATCAAGTCTAACTTATCATTTTTTTCTTTTATAGTTAAAGCTTTGTGTACCCTAAGAAATTTTTGCTTATGTTAAATCAAGAAGATTTTCTTTTAGAAGTTTTCTAAGTTTTAGCCTTTTCAGGACTTTAATTTCAAAATAATTTCTGTGTATAGTGTGATTAAGGGGAATCTCACATTCTAAAACTCATTTCACAATTGTGTTCTTTCTCCTAGCTATTAATCTTTTAAATTTTTCTCTTCAATTATGAAATGAAAGCTCTGTCTCTGATTAAAGGAAATTCAGGCATTACAGAACACATTTTAGGAAATGGAACCATTTTGTTGCTCCTTCAATTAAAACTGGAAGGTAGATGTGCCTTTGCCATTTTATGGCACATGGAACAGAAGACACAAAGTGTTTCTTCTTCTTAAATTTCAATTCTTCATCCCCCCCTTTGATTTATAATTCCTGGATGCCTACTTTTACTTCTCTCTTTCCTGGCCATGAAAGCTCTTACACACTCTGAAATGTGCCTATGCAAGCTCCATAAATGGAGCTCAAATGACCTTGGCCTGGGGCACCTGGGTGGCTCAGGCGGTTAAGTGCCTGCCTTCAACTCAGGTCATGATCCCAGGGCCCTGGGATCGAGCTCTGCATCAGGCTCCCTGCTCAGTAGGGAGTCTGCTTCTCCCCCTCCCTCTCCCTCTGTGATCTCTCTTGCTCTCTCTCTCAAATAAATAAATAAAATCTTAAAAAAAAAACGACCTTGGCCTAGGAACACGAAGAATGAGAGTCTGTATCTGTCCAATATGGAAACCTCTAGCCTGTGGTTATTTATATTAAAACTTAAAATTTAGTTCCTCGGTCCCATTAGCCACATTACAAGTGCTTGATAGCCCCATGTGGCTAATGGCTACCATTATTAGACAACGCACATATAAAACATTTCCATCACTGTAGCAAGTTCTACTAGACAGCACTGCTCTAGATGTGTGGGTAGGAACACTGGATGTTGTGCTGCTGATGATTAAATAGCATTAATAAAGGGAGGATGTTAACATTAATGACGAATTTAAGTTTTGGATGAAAAATTAAAGAACTGATTTAGTTATTTAAAAATAATACTAAGTAGAGTTATTTGTGCCAAGTCTATATGGTTACAGATTGAGTCTCTGTGTACCCCCCCCCCCACCACCACCAAATTCATGTTTGAAGCCTTAACTCCCAGTGTATTAGGAGGTGGGGCCTCTGGGAGGTAATCAAGGTTTTAGATGAGGTAATGAGGGTGGAGACCCCTTGGTGGCATTAGTGCCCTTTTAAAAAAAGAGACACCAGAGCCATGTGAGGACAGAGAGAGAAGGTGGCCATCCACAAGCCAGGAAGAAGGCCTTTACCGAGTACCAAATCTGCTGGAACCATGATCTTGGACTTCCCCGCCTCCAGAACTGTGAGAAATAAATGGCTGTTGTTTAAGCCATCCAGTCTACAGTATTTTGTTGCACCAAGCCCAAATAAGACACTTCCCTATTAAGCAGGTCAGTATCTTTAAATTTTATTTAAGTCTGTAGCAGTTATAAGGAAAAACCTTTAAAATCCTGTCAGGTTAACTTTATCATATATTATAGCTCAATTTCCAATTTGCTATTGATGGTAAAGGCCAATGTGCTCAAATATTTTAAATTAACGAAGTAATACCATCTACATGAAATCTGGATAAACAGGGAGGCAATGGAGTTACGGGAGGCAGAGAAACCATTCATGCTCTCAGCAAGTTATTTCAGGGCCTAATAAACTTTAATGTAACCGCATACCACCTATTTATCTATACAGCTGGACCACTCTCTTCATTTTCCACAAAAATTGTATGCAATTTTCAATTAATTTAGAAACAATTACTTAATTTACATCTGACATTGTAAAGTGCATTAAAACCATATCGTTTTTAGTTTGTGTTCAGAGTGATAGAGGAGTTGGAGCCTAAGGTTTTAAGCAGAAAAGATGACTTGGGGAAGTACTGTTTTAAACATGAGCATAAGTTAAAGAGCAAGAATTCAGAAAAAGTCCTCAACAGTTATAAGGAAATTACTATACGTGGAAAAAAAAAAAAAAAACAAGACATCTTTGGGGGGAAAACTATCTTTTCAAAAAAACTTATAATGCTAGTATATCAGCAATGGGCAGAAACACAGTAATACTGCTTCCAGCTCTCTACACAGAGCAGATATTTGCTTATCAGTTATAGCACTCTTATCCCTGAAAATCCACGTACTAGAGTTGGCATAGAAATGTATTTGCTATCCAAGAACCCCATAATATCTTTTATAATAGAATCAGGGTCCAAACCTTTAAGTAGTGAATTCCAAATACCTAGGCACATTACCTCCTCACTGTCCTAGCAGTCTGCCATCCAGTCATTCACTGCCTTATGTGCTACATGGGGGCTATCTGGAGAACACAGATTACTGAGAATGCACCATTTTCCTCACCACTCTTTTCCATTCCCCAGGTTCCTTTACTTTATTCAAAATTTTCTTCATAAACTTGAATACATTAAAAATTACAATTTTTTTCCTGGACGACTTTCTTTTTTGTCCAGGCTTCTCTTCTAACCCAAAGACCTGATTTATCTTGTATTTACTTATTTTAGGGCTCTGTGATCTGACTGCAGTCTGATTTACTGAATGTCTTGAACAAACACAACAAATTTTACTAAATGTCTGTTGTGAGTCAATTCCTATGATGGGCACCAGAAATATAAATACAACTATTTTACACCTTATAATCTATCATTTATACATAATTTCTGGTATTTGCTGACATATTTTAATTGAGTTTTCTACCTCACCTCAAAATAACGTGTTACACTTTTTAAGAAAGCTAAAAACCAAGTATCAGGTATATTCACAATGTATAACTACTTATTTAACTTCTGTTTACTGCATAGTGAAATTCTATCTACGTTCATTAATCATGATCAGCTTACATCATCAGTGGTAGCAAGGCTTTCACTGGGGGTAAGTTCTGAGTTTGATGCTATCCAAGTACCAGAATTTACTGACTTTACATTTTCTCCTTCTTTTTCATGGTTCTCAGAAATATGTCTGGATACTATGTCCTAAATAAGGAAATAAGATAGTTAGTTATGTAAAACATTTATTTTTTATCACCAATTTAAACACACAGGCAGACAGAAGAGCAAATGAATGTACCTCACCTCATAGGTTAATTATGAGGAAGAAATAACATTAAAGATAAAACACTAAAAAATTGCTCAGAGAAAGACTTTTATCTAAAGGTTACTAAAGCTATACAAGAAGTTTTAAATAAAATGGCAAGAAAGCACATGAAAAACAGATCATAATACATATGGAACAGGATGTACTTCAGTCTAAGAAAGCAACCAGATACAGTCATGAAGAAAATTGGTACCAGACAGAGTAGGAAAAAGAATGTTAGGTACCAGATACCTGTAATGCATATAAAGCCCTTTGTCTCAAGTAGTCTGTATTAAGTAGCTGAAGTTCATGGAAGAGTTCAATAAGAAAATGTGGACGAGATTCGTTTTGAGAAATTAATGTAGCTACTTCAGAATATATAGTATCTCGCAAAGCTTCGAACATGGAAAAATCACTCCCGGTTTCTGGAAGATATAAAAGATCAGGAAGTTAACAGTGATAAAATACATTCCTGACAATTTCTATCACCTTGAATCATTATTCAGGTTTAAATAACTTAAATATCAGAACAGACTTAATTCTATTTTAGGACTTTTAAAGTAGAAAAAGAATCTTAAAAATTACCAAGATAAAAATAATCTCAAAAATATCAAGATATATACCATATATTAGAAATACTTAAATGTATGGATAATATTACCTAGCGTTACTCAGACCATACTTATTTCTCAAAAAAATTATCTGGAAAATTTTACACATTTCATAGGAATAATCAGTAGAAATCTTTGAGCACTTGAATGAAATAAACTAACTGCAAATAATTTTTTTTTTTTTTTTTTGCTAATATGAACTTTGTTACAGAAAAGGAAATTCATTTAATGTTTAGAATAAACTGAATGCTGGCAATAAAAGCTACTATTTTAAGGTCTATCTAGTCAGGTCTACTAATTCTCAAATCTCAGCTATCATGCTGTATTGATGGAAAATTGAACTTTTGAATATAACACAATATAGGTCAATTTTGCTACTGTCTTACTGCCACACTCAGTATAAGTTGGACCAGGCATGACCTGATGCACGTTTTCAGTTTCATAGAATCTGGGCATCACTCAACAATTCTGCTATATATAATTGTTGATAACACAGAATTATCACTCTTAAAGGTATACAGTCATACATTTATTTTTAAGAGTGCGAATTAGAAACTGTTCCCATTTTGAGTGCTCTATTTAAAAAAAATCTCTGGGGCACCTGGGTGGTTCAATCAGTTAAGCACCCGACTCCTGATTTAGGCTCAGGTCATGATCTCAGGATCATGAGATTGAGCCCCACATAAGGCTCCACGCTCAGTGTGGAGTCTGTTTGAATTTCTCTCCCTCAGTCCCTACCCCCCACTCCCACCCCTGCTCTTGCATGTGTGTGCACACTCTCACTCCCTAAAATAAATAAAATCTTAAAAAAAAATCTCTTAAGTAGTTCTTCTGGCTATCAAACTCTGTACCCTTTCTAGAGCAACAGTAGAACCATGGGTAAATACTCAGGTTCCACAAATATCTGTGATAAGTTTCTAAAAAAGAGAAATTAAAATGTTGAAGGTTTTAATATATTGTGATTTTAAATAAATATACAAAGATCATAAAGATTTAATTCACCTTTTGCAAGAGAGGGTAAGAATATGCAAAGGCAATGAGGCCTAATGAAAAAACTTCCTACTAACTTACATCTTGTATCTTAACATCTTCAAACCGTAATTTCTACAAGTGTAATAATAAATAAGCAATTTCCCTATCTTGCCTCATTTATGACTATAAAATAAAATAAAATACTAAATTTCTTACTAGTTTAGAAATGTTCAAATGTGATATTATAAGCAGGAACCAAAACTATCTCTAGGAAATCTCTACTTAAAGGAAAAACCCAGATAAGAAGATATGATTTAATATGCAAACTTCCAATTTATACTATAGTTTGACCAGCTAAATTAGAAAATGTTTATTATTTCAAAGAACAAAGCATATTTAATGACACCTGTCATAGCTCTACATGTGATAAAATTATCATTCTAAATTATGTATAATTCATTAAAGATGAAATTATTCCCAAATAATGAATGACGCTGAATACATGCTTTACTGCCCACCTCCCCAGCCCTGCAATAGACAGGTGGAAAGTTTTTGCCAGTTTCTCCTCCTACTAAAATGCATTAGTGTAGGCTACAAAAATCCTTGATCTCAGTCAGGTTTCTCTGAATCCATCTTATTTTTATCCTATTTTTCAGAGTTCTTTTCTTTAGGACGTGTCACAGATAGAATTCAAGTTTTGTCTGTGCTAGATCCTTGTTTTTTTCTTTAGATTCTCCTAAAGATTCATAACAAGCTTTTATTTTTCACTTATGTATAGTGCAGGAGGCATTCAAGAATATTTATAACTCTAAATCACACAGAACCATGTTTAAAGAAAATACCTAGTGTAAAGCCAAAAACAGTATTTTGGAATCTTTGTAATTTTCCATGCATTTTTATTTATCACGGTCTTTGCATGTCACTGATTTTATTCAATGGTTTACTGGCTTATTTTTTTTTTGTAGATGTTGACTAGTAATGAAAAATAAGCAAGTACAACAGAAGTTACACACAATACTTAACACTGTAAATCAAAGCTAGGAAAAAATATTTTTGTTTCAAAAAATATTAATGCTTTTATGCATTTAAGAATTACAAAATAACTTCAAATAAAACAATCAATTATAAAAAGATTTTCTATTATCCTTATGAATGTGTTGGTTATGTTACATACAGTAACTGAAAATGAAAACAAGAAAAGCAGCTAATCTTACCACCCAAGTAAAAACTACAAATGAAAGCCTTCAGAATTTTATATGAATTCTCTTTCACTTTTACAAACCAAATGACATATAAACACTAAGCTATATCTAAAAAATAAAATAATCAGAGCAATAAAATTAAGGATATTTAAGACTAATGGAAAAAAATTAACAAAAAGTGGACACCAAAACTAAGCAGATTGTTACCTGGTGCTTCATTGCATGCATTTCTGTTAGACTGCTGAAGTATTCTCCTAGCATGTGCTGTAGGAAAGGGCAGACAGAAGGATGAACAAAAAATGTGTATGAATAGTAAAGACAGGGTCCATAATATGAGTAAGTGAATTTAAAAAAAAAAAAAAAGCAAATTTCTTTAAAATTGTTTGCCTGAACTGAAATGTTATCACAGGTATGCTTTATAATTTGTTTAAAAAATGATCTTATTAGGGAAAATATCAAAAGATTTGCTATAAACTTATATATATAAACTTAATGTGACTGATGATGACTATCATAATAAACTTCTGCCATTCACTCATAGAAGCGTACACATCAAGGTGAACCTCCCACAACTCCTAAGGGAGGAGAGGACTGTAAAATTCAATACTAGCAGTCATATATGCTACTCTCTAGTAATCACGTAACAAAAACTACTAGTCCATGCTATAGAGAATTTTAGAGTAATGATTAAAACTAAAAATAAGTCTTTTTAGAAAGTGAATATGTAAATACCCATAGGGTATATTTACACAAGGCAAGCATTTTTTAGTGCACCAAAATTCAATCATTGTATTTTTCTAAGTAACAGTAATAAGGTCTGAAGTCCTATGACCAACTATCCATTATTTAGGTAACTTGATAATCCAATTAATTAATAAGCCTTTCAATTTAGTGCCCTTCCCCAACCTCCACCAACTGTTTACTCCTTGAAGATCTCACTATTTGATAAAGACAGTGAAAGGAGATAAAAATTATAAAATTTTGGTAAAATACTGGGGTTACATCAGGAAAATTGATAGTTTTGCCAAAAGGATCCTAGACTTAAAAGAGAAGACCAGGATTAAAACTTCCACTCTGCCATTTCTTAGCAATATGACCTTGAGGAAGTCAGTTCAAAATACAAACAAATGTGATGTTTCTTTTCTGATTACAAAAGCAATAAATACTTGTTATGAAAGGTTTAGAAAATATAGAAGAGTTTAAAGATGATAAAAATCACTATTAGCATTTTGATGCATTTTCTTCTAGTCTTTATTCATTCTGATTTTTTGTTTAAACATAGTTGGAATCACAGTTCAGACAACACTAAATCCCAATATTTTTTTCATTTTTGTTTCCTTAGCATAGATAAGTACAATTACTGAGATAAAGCCATGACTTTTGAAGCCTTCCAGAAAAACTGTACCAATTTATGTTACTAGCTCTTTATGACGATGGGGAAAAAAAACAGGGATACTCTCTGACCACATTTCCTAATCTGCAGAATGGAAATAAAACCAATTCACAGCATTATGAGGCTCAAATGAGATGAGTAATTTGTTTAATTTGTAAATAGTAAAGCATAATACAAAAGGTAGCTGCTACTCTCACTTTTCACCAAGGATTTTATTGACACCTGAGAATTGAGGGTCCCTATTTACTGCCTCCCTCCCCATGTTTCTTTGAGATGTACCTGCTCTTTATAAATTAGGAAAGTACCAGTAGTTAAAACAGTGGAAAACACAAACAACTCCATTCATTCATTCATTCATTCGTTCATTCAATTAACACTTAGTAAGTGCCTACCACGTGCCCAGTACCATGGGAACATTTAAGGCACAAACATGAGAAGGTATTTTCTGCTGCCAAGGGACTCAAAAAAGGTGACAAAGACACTTAAACAAGTAAATACTATATAATGTGATACGGGCAACAGAAGAGATTTACACAGGCTACAACAGAAACGAAAAAGGAGAAAAGGGAAATTATCTGAGCTTCGATTTGATGCAATTTCAGAGTTGCAGAATTAACATTTTGTTGAAGACTCCAGTAGAGAAAAAGGCTTACAAAGAGCAAAAAGGCCTCCTGCTGAGGTGAGAAACAGCAAGATAGCTATGCGAAAACTTCAGTTCAGTGCCATGGAAAGAGGCAACTTCAAGGCAGAGAGGGTAGGGAGAAAGAGTCTAGAGATGCAAGAAAGAGCCAAATCTCTGCTGGCCAGATGTTACATTAAGGCACTTGGACTCTCCCCTGTAAGCATGGTAAAGCCAAAGATTTTAAGCAGGGAATGATAGGATTTTACATTGAATTCTTATTCAGAGAAGATTTTCAGAATTTCAGATCAGCTCCAAATTAATGTCGACTATGCTTTTTTGTTTGAAATTTCATCATAAAGTGTCAAAAGCTACTATCACAATATTAAAAAATATTTCCAGTTCACATTTCTTGATATCAAGGAATGTATACTGTAATCTCTACTTATATAAAACCTTGCACATGACAGAAAAGTATGACAGACCAATGGCTTTTGAAATCTAAGATGAAGAAGTCCTTAGATTAAAGCAAACCAAAAAAGAACATACCTGAAGATATTTCTGTAGACCTACTATATTTTATTATTTTTTCCAGCTGCTCATGATTCTTTCTGCTGCATACTTTTGCTTGAACAGGCTCTTCAGTCTGGGCTGAATGTCTGTTCCTACTTTTGCAAGGTTCACATGTGCTAGACATACTGGCACTTTCATACCCTTGAGTAAAAAAAGTGACAACTGTTATCAGTTGCAACTAACTCAGACTGAAAGGGAAATTGATTTCCATAGTGCAATAATACAGGTAACTCAATTTAGAATGCTGTATAAATAGAAAACAGTAAATACAATGTCTTGCAATAACCTTTGGAAGCATGGGGTAACAGTAATAGATTCTAACACTTCATCGTCCAATTTAGACACCACTTTCATGGGTACATCCCAACTCAAACTACACTGTAAGCCTTATATGACCCAAATCCTCTACTCGTCAGTCTCCAAGTTAACCATTTTTCAATATTAGGAAATACAAGAAAGAATCACATCCAATCTACATAAAATGTCCATAAAAGAGAGAATAATGGGCATTAGTCAGATATGTCTGCCTTCTTTTAACTTGTGTGTAATAGGACTTGATTTAAAAGGTCTTACCCACTCATAGGTTATCCACATATTCTACTAAATTTTCCTTGCTATATGGCACAAGTTTGGAATTCTTTATTTTGTTTCACATGGACACTTGGTTATACCTACCCTATTCCCAATGAAAAAAAATGCAACCTTGGTCAATATATGTATTTTTTTTTTTTTAAGATTTTTTATTTATTTGTGAGAGAGAGAATGAGAGACAGAGAACATGAGAGGGAGGAGGGTCAGAGGGAGAAGCAGACTCCCTGCTGAGCAGGGAGCCTGATGTGGGACTCGATCCCGGGACTCCGGGATCATGACCTGAGCCGAAGGCAGTCGCTTAACCAACTGAGCCACCCAGGCGCCCAACCTTGGTCAATATATTAAGTCTCCATATTTACTGAGGTTTATTTCTGGGGCATTCTATCTGTTTAATTTATCTATTCCAATGCCATCTTCATTCTTTTAGCCATAGAAGTTTTACAGAATGCTTAAACATCTGGTAAGGCAAGTCCTATGTAGGCAGCTTCCTGGCTATTCTTAGGTATTTGTCCTTCCATATAAGCTTTTTTTTTTTCAAATTTTAAAAATAGTCCACATGGATTCAAAATGGAATCACATTAAAAGCAGTTATTAATTCAAGAACTGGTATTTAATAATTTTACACAATTTTTAAAAACATCGTTATGTTTTTTACATTTGTTCAATCTTGCTTTGTGTTCTTCAAAAATATTTACAATTTTTTATAGATCTAGTACTTTCCTTGTTAAATTTATTCCTAAGGATTTCCCCCCCCAATAGCTTTGGATACTACTATGGGAAGACTATTTCCCCCCGCTTCCATTCTACTGAGTGTTACTATGATAGAGAAAAATATTTGCATACTTATTTCATAACCAGCTGCTTTACTAATTTACTTTAGTAGCTATTTTCCAGTGTTTCCTGGGCTCTCTCAGAAAAAATTAAAATATTTCCCTCCTTTTTCAGTATTTATGCCAATTATTTAATTACTTGTCATAGTGTTTTCCAAACAATGCTAGATAATGATGCTGGTAGAGAGGGAACCCCTGTTTAATTTCTAATTTTGATACAGATTATATTTGGAGTATTTTCATTTACAATGTTGTTTGTGACTGGCATTAGCTAACTGCTTTCATTATATTAAATATTAAATAATTGCCTTCTTTGGTGCATTTTACTTATAATTTTTATTAGGAATGACTTCAAATTTTATCTCATCTACCACTAAGGTTATATGACTTCTGTCCTTCAATTTACTGACATGAAAATTATGTTGACAGACTTCCTGATAACGAACCATGGTTACATTTCTGTAATAAACCCTACTGACAACAGTCCGATATTCTTTTTGATATATTGGCAGATTAAATTGGCTAATATCTTACTTTTGAATTTATGTTAGTAACTGAGATTTATCTATTGTTTTCTTTAACTGTTCTCTCTCCCTTTCACCTTTCCCTATAAAGGTGTCTAATCTGTTTCATAAGTTGTTTCTGTTGTTTTCCTCAGATATGATGCTTGACAAGTGAAGGCTCTAGTTTGAATATAGGATTCTTGAGCTGCAGTACTATTTTTTGTCTGTGTATGGACATTATTTCACTTTCTTCTACTTCTTGTGTTGTCTGATGTCAGTTTGGTTCTTTCTCATTGTATGTAACTTGTTCTTGCAGTCTGGAAGCTTATTAGATTTTTACTTTTTCCTTGGAATTAAGGAATTTTATTAGAATATACACAGGGGTATGTGTATACTTTTCTCCCTTGCCTCCTGGCTGGACAACAGTTAGCTGTTTTGATCTGCAGTCTCCAGTCTTTCTTCATTAAAGATTCCCCTTTATTATTATTTATTTAATTAGTGCCTTTCTACCTGTTTCTTCTTCCTTTAGTATTCCCTATATATCGTATCTCCAAGATTTGTCATTAAGCCTCTAATCATTTTCTTCTTGATTTTATCTTAGTACTTTCTGTTCTGTACAATGGCGTAATTCTTCCCCTCAATTTTCTAGGTCAGTAGTCTGGGACTTACTACCAGTCATCCTCTTTTCTGAACAGTCTAACAATAAATGTGAAAATCATTTTTTCTAGTTCTACAACTCAATCTGCCTAAGTGTTATGATTTTGTTCAAGCGTGTATTTCCTTCAATAATAGCTTTTACTCGATTTTACCGTTCTAGTGTTCTGCTTCTTGTCTCCTCTCTGATTGCTGGTCCCTTTTACATGCATTTTTACATTCACTGGGCTAGTCAGGACTCATCTCTACGCTTAAGGCTGGATCCAATTGCTGGGTAGCTTCACTGCATGCTGACAGTACTCGGAAGTCTCATCCTATGTTGAAGCAATGTTTTCGCTAGCAAGTTGTCAGTCTCCCATCGAGACGGTAAGAAGCTGCTTCTCTTTTCAGTCTCCTCAGCTGCAAAGGCCAAATGCTCTCCCAGATGCAAGATAGGGAGGATGCCACCTACTCGTTCAGTGACACCCTTTCCCATTAGTACCTTGAAGTGACAAACTGCTATTCTTGGAAGGAAGGGAGGTGTCAAGAGGTGCATGGATGTTGGTCCTCCAACCAAGTTTTCTCCAAGAACTGTAGAACTCTGATCTTTGCCCCTGACATTCACTTAATGAGCCAACAGAACCTAAAGCCTTCCTACTTACATTCTCCAGACCACAACAGCTGCTCTGCTAATAACAAGTAGGTTCCCAATACACTGTCAATTCATTCTCTGTAATATCCAATCTGGAGTTAACCTTCCCTTTTTAAGGCCATCAATCAAGTTGGGACTTTATCATCTCTACTTGGGTTCCTGATTTCTTTATTGGTCTCTCAGACTAAAGTCTAGCCACCGGGATCCATTCTGCATGAAACTTACTGGAAAAAGAGCCCTCTTGGGTTATTTTTGACTTTCACATAAACAGGCCCAGCAATAAGGGTATACAACTGCCAAAAGTAATAGATAAAACAGAATTCATGAAGGGTAACGATACCTCTGAGTTCCACTGGCTAGGCCAGCTAGTATTCCACCACCACCACCACATGATGATCATTAGCGTAAGGGCGTGACCTCCTATCCCACTCATCACTCTCTGCCTGGCGCACAATCTGTTTTGCTCAGTACGGTGGCAGGACATGTAGAAAAAATAGTACTTCTAGTTGTGTCTCCACTTTTGGGACACGGCTCAGCTGTGACCTCTGGTGGCACCCTGGAGACCTTGCATATATCCACACAGGCCACAAAGGTAAGGACTGAACTGCAGCTGAGTCTAAGTCTTGACAGAAGGCCCGAGGATCCTCCTCCTGGCGCACAGAACACAAGGACATGGGAGGTCTGTGAGGAACTGCTACGTAGCCATTGTTCACCCGCCTCCCCCTCCTCCTGTAAAGCTGTCCTGAAGAGGTTCTTATGAAAGAGGAGACCTCAGGGACCTCTCCTTCTCACCCTCTGAGGGCACACCTCCAGACTCTAAAGTGGTCTGTAGCAGCAGCATAGCACCAGCCCCTCCACAACAGGGGTCCCAACACTCATGCTGTAAGTGTCACCTGGCCTCTTGTGTTGCACTGTTCCCCTGGTGGCCTGTGGAACAAAGAACACAGGGAGCTGGGACTCCCAGCTACTCTTACTTTCTCCGCCTATGTAAATAATCATCTCTCTGAATCTAAAAAGGATTGTTTCTTTCCTGGCCACATCTGTCAGGCCTTGCCCTTCCTAACGCTTGACATCCATTTCATCTCAATCTTCATTCGTAAACAAGAGGAAAGGGAAGAGAAAAGAAATGACAAGACTCCGGGATGGTTACAGTACATTAACAGTTCTATCCAATTTTCTAAGAAAAGAATGAGGAGGATCTAGATTATATGATCCCACTGCTCTCTAATAATAACAAAAAAAGAAACGGACCTGGTAGAGTGTAGCCAAATTAGAGGTCTGATACCTGAAGCACACAGAAAGGCAAGGAAACATGCTCAACTCAGAAAGTCTGAATTGGAATGAAAGTTTAAAAGATGATTATCACTATCACATACTTTGTAAAACCTTACTTCACATGCACTGATAATTTACCTTTAATGTATATGTACATATAAAGACCTTCTAAAGATTAAAATACAATCTAAAGATTAAAATTACCATCACTAGAAACAAAGTTAAATGAAGATTTAGCATGCCACCTCTGAAAACTGTCCCCAAGTGCAAAAACATATACGAACAGTTCAGTCTAGTAAATCTGGGACAGCGTAACTGGCTGTGCTGCGTCTCTTAGGACAGAACTGAAGTCCCACCATGCTGGTCTATGTATCATATCCTATTGCCTTCCCCAGCTGTTCTCATCTTCTTTTCCTGCCTCTAAACTTCTTTTCATTGTTACTACAGTTTGGAATGTCTTCCAACATTCTCTCCATCCACCTACATTTAAGACAAGCAAATATTCTACTTTCTAAGAAATCATGGCTATTCCTACCCCATAAAATAGCACTGGACTAGCTCAGTGCCTCTCAGACTTTAATGGGCATATTTTCATATTAAAACATCTGTAATCTTGCTAAAATACACACTGAAGAACAATGTGTATTCACTCGGTTGGTGGAAGGTGGGACCCAAGAGTGCATTTTTAATAAGTTCCCAAAGGATGCTAATGCTGTTTGTCCATGGTTCACACTTTGGATAGCAAGGGTTTAGCTGACTAATTTGATTTTGCTACATATTAGTTTGACTCTGCATCTATTAGATTCTGCTACCAAGTCTGTGATTTTTGTGTGTGTGTATTAAAGTTGGGCTCTCACTGACAGATGGTCTTGAATGCCTGTCGAACAAATAAATGTGTATTATGTTTCTGGTAGGTATTTTTATACTCAGAAGAGAGCACATAGATCAGAATGTCAATCTTTGCCCTGAATCAAAAAAGCGGAATTGTATATACAGAATCATAATTCCTCAGAATAAAGGGGTTTCAAAATTAAATATACCAATTATTTCTAGGTTTAGGTAGTTACGGCCATTAGTTGGCTTAAGAGTTCCCTAAGACCCTGCTACTTAAAGTGAAATCCACAAACCAAGATCAACGAGACATGGAAACCTGTTAGAAATACAGACCTTTGGGTCCCTACCCAGACAGAATCAATCTGCCTTTAAACAAGATTCCCAAGGAGAAACATTAAAGTTTAAGAAGCACCACCCTAGCACACTCAACTGGCTGAATGAGAAAATGATAGATAATAAGTATTAGTGTTTCTTCATTTATTCATATGACAAAAAGCATTTCTGTAGGGACAAGGTAATAGAGAAGAAGTTTGATGAGTTACCCAAGGGGCCACTCTCTAAACATGGCCATGGTTCATTATGTACTTAAATGTTCCCTGGTGGCACCAAGAGGAATCTTGGAGAAAGCAGAGTAGTTGGATTTTCAGTCCTTTGAATCACTAATTTGCTACATAATATCAGCTCCTCCCAAACCTATATAAATGATCGAATATTTTCAAAGATGATAACATGTGTGCTGAGAAAACTATCATCCCTGTTCAAATTTGCTTGTTTCACCATCAAATCAGATTCTTCAGATGAGAGCAGCAGTAGGCAAAGACATGAAGGATATATGAAGAACTGAAATGAAATAAAGGAGCAGGTATTCTTTCTTACATCCACAGTTTTCATCAGATTTTTCAAGTGTTTCATTAACCAAAAATGGTTAGTTTTTTACCATAGGGTTTCCTAGGACCTTCATATCCTTGCATATATTGGGAGCTTCCAAGAGAGAGTTAGCTGGTGTGTGGTGATTTTTCAAACTTTCCTGATTATAAATCTTAAATACTTTGTCCTTAAGCACCAAGTACAATCTCCTTGAACCCAGAACAATCTCTCAAAGCCATAGCCGAAAAGCATCCCTTGCAAACTTGAAGGAGCATCCTTTAATTCTAATATTCCAGATTCTAGTTAATAAAACTATTTTTACCTAGCATTAGACTTGAGTAAATTCTTCAAAATTCAAAGAACATCTTTTTTTTTTTTTTAATGGCATGCAGTTAACACTATAAAAAGAACTTCGATAGGATATCCAATGACAAGATTCAATAAAAAATTCAATGGGTTAATGTTCCACCTTATTAACTAAAGTTAATTTCCTTAAGGACTAAGAGCAAACTTGTTTTAAAAGTGATTTCATCTATGATATTCAAAGACTGCAATGTAGTTACAGACCCAAATTTCTTTGAATGAATCAACCAAGGATGTACCAGAAGTCATAACAGAAGTGTTGGATGTTAAGATTAGATGTAATATTAAGAAAGAATAACAGTAAAAATTGGACACTGGCAATTTTTAGTAACCTATAAGATTTGGAAAACATCTTCTAAGCTCATAGTAACCACACACACAGGAAATATAAGAAGTTTTAAGAACCACAAAAAGAATAAATGTCTTAAAATATCTACAACACTAAACCCTATTTGATAAATTTTGTATTAAAAAAAACTATAAAGGTGACTAAAAATAAAAATAACTTTATTCAACTAGGTCTAGAACAGTGCTTATCCATTTAGCCACAAAGAAATGAAGTATGTCAACATGCCAGAATAAAGTTACCAACATTTACACTGATCAATATTCAACAAAGTTTAACACTTACCAATATTTTTAACTCTGCTTTTCAGCTGAGTAGAATGCCTTTTCTTACTCTTTGACTTAGGAGTTTTATCTTTAGATGCCAGGCTGGCCTGTGCAGATGCTTTCCTTGTCTTGAATGTTTTGGTTACTGTTGTTGGATCCATTGGATCAGGCATACTACTAAAGCTTTCTAATGACTCTTCATCAAACTGGTGTCTTCTCCGGCTAGTATCTAATTGATTTTTGCGATTACTATTTGCAATTTTCTCTACAGACACTGGAAATCCAGTCTTGGTAAATGGTTTTTCTACGTCACCTTCTTGGTCATATAACCACGGTGTCCTACTGTTTTCCACCTCCTCTTCGGGCTGTTTTTGATTCCTTACCAATGAAAATAAATTTTTATAGATATGACGATAGAGTTCTAGGCTTACTGGAAAACTGCAGATATAGTTAACAGATTTAGGCAAATAAAAATATCAACAGGCTATAAAAACACTTCCACAGAAATATACATCAAATATGTAAATATTATATAGCCTAATGTACTTAATTACTTTAAACTTTTTTGAGAGAGAGAGAGGGAGAGAGAGAACCTTTTTTTTTTTTTTTTTAAGATTTTATTTATTTGAGAGAGAGAGAGTACAAATGAGGGAAGAGACAGAGTGGACAAGCAGGCTCCCCGCTGAGCGTGGAGCTAGACACAGGACTCAATCTCAGGACCCTGAGGTCATGACCTGAACTGAAGTCTGACGCTTAACTGACTGAGCCACCCAGACACCCCAGAGAGAGAATCTTAAGCAGGTTCCACACCCACCATGGAGCCTGAAATGGGGCTCGATCTCACAACCCTGAGATCATGACCTGAGCCAAAATCAAGAGTCGGATGCTTAACCAACTGAGCCACGCAGGGGCCCCTTTAAACTTTAATCAGACCCTTCTCACTAAACCATTTTCACTGGCAAAAGTTGCGAACAAAAGATCTAGCACTCATGATGACAAAGAGTGGGAAAGAAAAATTCAAAAAAAGGATGGGACATACAAGGAAAAAACAAAACACTTGGAGGAATAGCTGAGAAAGAGCTGTATGTCGTAGATGGTTTGGGAATATACACAAATCTATGTCACTTAAAGCAGTTCAAACAGAACTGGAATTTGGTGAAAACAATCGTCCATGCAACTCGTAATTTATTCCTCCACACATTAAGTAGAGTTTAGTTGTGGTGGTCTGGTGTCATTTTCCAAATTTTATCTGCTAAACACTGACATCCTTTAATATGTTAATAGGTATTTACTGATCATCTAAGTTTGGGAAACAATAAAGTTAAACATGTCTGCAAGATTTCTCAAAACGTTAAACATGCTAATGTACTATACAAATGTCTTAGAAGGGAACATAGTGAGCAAGATGTCCAAAATTTTTATCACAGAACCAGACATGAACAATAGTGTTCTGAAGAACATGATTTAGTAGACCGTGACCTACAGGGTTCAAATTAAGACAAGATTAGCAAACCTATAGTCTGCAGGCCAAATTCAGCCTGTTATCTATTTCTGTACAGCCTGAGAGCTAAAATGATTCTTTTTTGGGGGAAAAAAAAAAGATTTCATTTATTTATATATTTTAGAGAAGGGGGGAGGGGCAGAGGGAGAGGGAGAGAAAGAATCTCAAGCAGAGTCAGCACAGAGCCCAACTTGAGGCCTGCCTGATCTCACCACCATGAGATCATGACCCAAGCCAAAATCAAGAGTTGGACACTCAACTGAACGAGCCATCCAGGTGCCCCTAAAATGATTCTTACAAAATAAATAAATAAATAAGATAAAATAAAATAAAATAAAGTAAAATAAAAGTCTGGGAGGTCAACCATAGGATTCCTGGAGTCAAATACAAAGTTGAATTCTTAGGTTTTATTTAATCAAGGAAAAAAAAAAAAAATCCATGATTTAATAATTAAATAGTGCCAAAATGATTATTTAAGTGCTCCAAGACATGCCCAATCACACAACTAAAGAGAAAAGTAATGTGAATCTTATATTTGTAAAGGGCTTACAAAAGACAAAATCAAAGAGATACTTCTTACAGAAGAAGTACTAGGCTGAACTGACCTCTAATTTTTCATCCTTCTAAAAATTTTTTTTCTGAAGTAAATAACAGTAACAATAAAAAGACTATAGTTTTACCAGCTGGCTATCAAAATCATTTTCTGGATTAACACAATCATTAAGAATATTATTTATTTAGCTATAAAAACAGAGAATGATTGACCTGACTCAATCCAAATAGTGTTTTACACTATTTGAGTCAAAAATTTCATTTGGGAAGACCATCATATTAAAAAATAATAACACTGAGGAAAAAAACACGTTAACACTAAAACAGAGAAAGAAATCCTGACTATGACTGATAGCATCTATCAATAATCTTGAACAGTGCTCAACATTTCATTTAAATAGGCCTAAAGACCTTATTCTAATCAGGAGCTATGAATCAAGGAGCCATTACTTTACAACTATCATCTAGTAGTTAATATTAGTTTCTCGCCCTAAAGTGAACTTAAGGACAGATATCAAATCAAGGCAAAAGACACTATATGGGTCAGGTCTTATCCTTCCACTCTGATCAAAACACTGAACTGTTCTTGTGTCAGGGTTAGTGGCAGGTGTATGCCTGAGAGAGACCTGGTAAGGTATCAGTTTAATACTCTCAATGCTATGCTAACAAGCCAAACAACAACAAGCATCCTTCCTAATTGTGTTTTCAAATTATATATAATTAGATATAATAACAAAAGTGACGTTTAAGAAAAGAATGGATTATGTTCACAATCGAGTACCTTTGTTTTTCTGCTCCAATAGAAGAACTGCTTTCAAAAGGTTTTGGAAAAGCCATATATTCTGTTTTCCCTGAAGAATTCTGTGCTAATGGTTGCTGCTGTTCAGTGGGTGTAGAAATATTCTGAGAAAAATCTCCAAAATTAGAAGGAAATAAAGGGCTGAAATTCATACCTAATAAATAAAAGCAATGGGTAAGACAACAACAAAGAAGTACCTAAAGGCCTTAATATGATATTAAAAGACAGTTTTAATTAAATGTGCCGCTCAAATCCACGAAAACAAGTTAACTGTTAAAATAAACTAACATTCATTTGTTCAATCACTGTTTACAGTTCAGCCCACTAGGTTTTTGGCATTGATGATTAAATAAAATAACAGGTAAATGCCTACAAGAGTCTGCTACCCGGTAATTTGATGAATGTCAAGTACTATTACCTCTAACTTTTAGCTCTGAAGGGATGAGGATTATTTATTTACCTGTTATTTCATGTAATGCTCAAAACAACTCTATGACATAGGTATTATATTAATTTTACCAGGGAGAAAATTGGCTCAAAGATTAAACAGCTAGTAAATTGAAGAGCAGGTCAGATCCCACATCTGCACAATTCTAAAGCTTATGTTCTTTCCACTCTACTTTAACTGGGAAACTAGAATAGAACTAAATTCTTACCATACAGTGTCGTGTCAGATGTATTTGCAAGGGGCGACTAACAACTTGGTGGGGGAAAAGGGGTGAGAGAGGCTTCACAAAATTAGTTTGTGAAGAATGAACAGTCTTTGCCCAGGGCTGGCACAGGCATGAAGCATATTAGTGTAAAGGAACTGCATGTGCAATTTTTAATATTATCTGTTACCTAGAAATCTACTCAAAAAATGTGTGCTGCCAATAATCATCAGTGCTCAAGAACTAAAACACTTGTTCAATTTGTTAATGACATTGTTTTTATAATCCTAAGAAAATACACTGCTATTTTTATTGACTTATATTCAAAAAGCCTTCCAGCCCTCCCAACCCTTTTTCTCCTCCTATATTCCCTGACAAACACGTTCAACTCCATCTCTTTCATGACTCACCTTATCTAACTGATCACCTAATTTATTCTACCTCTAGAAAGGCTTTTGAATTACTCCTAGTTCTGTACCCCTCCTGCCAATGCCTTAGATCAAGCTGTCATTCTTTCTCTGCTATTACTACAACAGCCTTCGGTTTCCTATTCACCAGCGATACTCTTAGCTCCTCTCTCGAATCTCTGCAACACTATTAATAGTGCGATATTCCTAAAATAGAAATCTCATGCTATCCCCCTGCTCAAAATCCTTCAATGGCCCCTGTGGAAGGCAAAGAAAGTCTAAGCTTCTTTGCACTGCACAAAAGGTCTCTGCTGCTCTCCGGCCATATCAGTTACTCTTCCCCTGCTAAGGCCCTGATCACTAGCCATACTTAACGACCTCTAAATTCCCTACGTGATAAAGTGTTTCATTGCTTTGTAACTCTAAGCGGTCCCATTGATTGATTAGGAAGTCCTTTCTCCTCTAATATCCCTGGAAATAAATTCTGTTCATTATTTAAATAACATGCTTTCGGGGGGGGGGGGGGAAGACTTGCTGACAATCTCTTGCCCTAAGGAAAGGCCACTCATCTCAGTTGTACCACTGCTACCGCCCCCATGGCACTGCACTGAGCACCTACTGACATGCTTAGCTTCCCCACTAGACTCCAAATGACTTTAAGCGTTCATTTTACTCATCTGAATCCCAGTCATTTATATGTCTCAGGACATAATGGGTGCAGGAAAAAAAGTCTGAATACAAGCCAAAGCTAAAGAAAATTAAATCTAAGCCTAAGCTAAGCTTTAGTCTAGTAACATCTCCCTACTGCACAGTGTCTGGTGTGCAGCAGCCATGGCAGAGGTTATGTCCCCTCTTCCTTAATAAACCGCTGCTGGATAATTCAGAGTTTGTAAGACTGAGCAATCTTTCATAAGTAGTTGACTTAATTTCATTAGCAACCATTTCAAGCTTAAGTTTTCACCATAAAGAATCAATGTAGAAGAGTTCGTAACTTTCTCTGCATACACCTCCTACCATTCCAGGAGAGACCCATTAAACTCCATGCAAGAGACAAACAATATTCTCAAGCATTTTGCATTTATTTATTTTCCTCTCAAGTTTTCACTTACCTGGTGCAAATGATGAAATATTAGTAAACCCGGGTAGGTTAAACAGATTTACAGGCTGTGATGGAAAGCTGAAAGGACAAAATAAACTGGGAGAAGAAGGGTGTGATGCACTGCTGCCTCTTTCCTTGCTTCCAGGTTTTTCTGGGTGATTTTGCTGGCGCATAAGTTCATTTAGCATTTGTTTCAACCTATAAATATTTAAGAAGTCAGTAACTTACAAATCAGTTATATTACCTTCTGTTTGCAGTACTTTCAGAAAAAATGATTCAAGAGCATGCAAAAGAGATGAACTGTTTTGATATTTACTACAACAAACATCTGCTTGCCCTGCAGGCTTACTTCAATAACTTGGCCTTTGGAACACGAATTGCACTTACCACTTTGACCAGATAAAAAGCATAACTATAAGAAACTCATACATTTTTGTTATTAAGAACTTTACCGAGATACAATTTACATACCATACAGTTCACCTAATGTAAGTGTGAAGTTGAACACTGAAAATTTTTAAAAACTAAAGTCTACAGTATTAAAAGGGAACATCAGGCAAATTACTGTTTATAAAATTCTCGGGTATAGAGAAGGTTTGAATATTCAATTTTCCTCATGTCCTTTTCTCCCAGAAGATAACTATAAAACACATGCTCAGTTTTAGCATTTACTATACAGTTCTACTGCTTCTAAGAAACAGATTACCTTTGCACATTATTCTGTTGCCAGGTTAGCTGAGTGTAGCACTGGTTCAACTGGTGCATTATGAAGTGTACTTGAGGCGACGCAACATTGCTCGGCATAACGCTGTAAGGACCCGTAAGAAGAGTTTGCAGCAGACAAGAGAGCGTCTACGGAAAGACAAATTGTCATAATAGTTACTGGCGACTTGAGAAAAACGTGCACTGCTTCAAAAACAAGATATAAAAAATGTACTTTCTCAGTAAACTTTACTTTTTTTTTTTTTTAAGATTTTATTTATTTATTTGAGACAGAGAGAATGAGAGAGACAGAGAGCACATGAGAGGGGAGGGTCAGAGGGAGAAGCAGGCTCCCTGCCGAGCAGGGAGCCCGATGCAGGACTCGATCCCGGGACTCCAGGATCATGACCTGAGCCGAAGGCAGTTGCTTAACCAACTGAGCCACCCAGGCGCCCTCAGTAAACTTTACCTGCTGGTCTTGCATCAAAGTCTGACAAATGTTGACACTGAAATCAAGTTGTTTCTTTAGCTGATTAATTTGTTCTTGCCATTGTTCTTTCTCCTCTACATAAGAGAGTTCTGACACCCAACGAAGGTTCTCCTGACGCTGCATGCTGATATTCTGCTGTCTTGTCTTGGCTAAAGGACGGTAATTTCCATCTGCTGAAAAAGGCCAATTGTTCTTCCACCTAACACAGATTTAAAGCATTAGGTCATCGTATGTAATTACTTGGTTTTTAAAATCTGGCAATAAATCCTGATACCATGGTTCATAGACCAGTATTTTTTTAAGATCAAAGTTTAAGTTCAAAGGACTTCAAAAGTATGGAAATGAGGGGGAGGAAATTCCAGATTTCTAGCCTTGTGTAATTATCATTTTTAATTTTTTCCCCTTTTTTTTTTTACTTATGTCTTACACAGAAGTATCCATGTAATTCTCTAGTCTAGAAAATGAAAATATATTCTATCACAAGCATTTTTCCATTCTTCATGCTTTAAACTTAGCCACATGACATTCTATCATCAAGTGGAACTACTTAACCATCTTCTATTCATGAAACATTTTTCACTGTTAGAAATAACAATGTAATGAATATTCTGTTGCTACGTCTTTTTCAATACCTATGATTTTCAGTTTTGCTTAATTCCCTACAACAGAAGCCAAGATCAAAGCTTATGAATCCTGATTCAGTCTAGTTGGGATCTATCTTGACAAAACTCTTATGATACAATAAAAAATACATTTGGTCTTTGTCCCAAGTTCCCAGCACAGAGCTCGCAAAACTCTCGGCATCTCCTGAGACCTAGAAGTATCTTTTGTTATTCATAATGGACACCTTTCAACCATAGCTAAGTTTATGCTAATGACTCTTGGGAGGCCCTAGACAGCTTCATGGAGGGGGACTGGTCACTAAAAAAAAAAATCAACCAGGTGTTTATAGGGTTGGAACTTTCAGCCCCACCTCCAACTTCAAGAGGGGGAGGGGCTAGAGTGAGTTTAACGTCAATGGCCAATGATTTAATCAGTTGTGCCTAGGGAATGAAACTTCCACAAAAACTCCTTACCAAGCTGCTTAGGAGAGCTTCTGGGTTGGTGAACACATTGAAGTGCTGGGAGGGTGGCACACCCAGAGAGAACATGGAAGCTCTGCACCGCTTCCCCAACCCATCCCTTGCCCTATCCATCTCTTCCATCTGGCCGTTGCTGAGGTGCATCCTTTATAATAAGTAGAGTTCTTGAGTTGTTCCAACAAATTATGAAACCTGAGGAGGGCTTGTGGGAACCCCCAAATTTTTAGCAAAGTCAGACAGAAGTGTGAGCACATGGAGACTTGGGACTTGCAACTGGCATCTGAAGTGAGGGCAATCTTGTGGGACTGAGCCCTTTACTTGTGGCATCTGCCCTAATTCCAAGTAGTGAGTGTCAGAACTGAATTAAATGATGACACCCAGTTGGTTCGGAGAATCAGAGAAGTGCTTAGTGTCACAAAGACCTGAGACTTCAAGAATCAAACAAAAAGTTAACACAATGAAACTAACCTATTCTTAGTTTCTTTTACGTTGTAAGAGTTATGATTCACACTGTTAGGAGGATACATAGAAAAGTTATCATTGGAACTGGCATCTTGCTCTTCTTCCTCCTCCTCTTCATCCGTCCGAACAACTCCTTCAGAAAGGTAACCATCTTCATCTCCTTCTTCATCCAGTGCACACTGAGTAGAACCTCCCCAAGTTGCCATTGTTCTAGAGATTAAGAGACAAAAAATAAGAGATCATTTTGGAGATCAGCTAAATACTTTACCATCTACTATGTGCCAGACATTGTACCATGTACATATGTATGCATATGAAACATGTTTGCCTGCTTATAAAATTTCACTGAATTCCACTGCTGATATGTGGAATATGTTTATTCTGCCTTCCACAAAACAATTCTTCAAATAAATTAAAATAGTAATTGTATCTCCTAGAACTTTTTTCCTAAACTAAACTCCCTCAGTTTTTAACTTTACCTTGAGCAACAGTTTTCTAGATCAGAGCTGTCCAAAAGAACTTTCTGCAATAGTAGTAATGATCTATACATGTGTATCCAACACAGTAACCACTAGGTACACATGGCTAATGAGCACTTAAAATGTGGCTGGTGTGACTGAGAAAATGAGTTATTAATTTTATTTAATTTAAATAGGTACATATAGGTAATGTAACAGCTACCGCACTGGAAAGCCCAATTCTAGATCCATGGTTCCCAAACCTAGATGCTTACCATCAAAAATACCCAAAGAACTTTTCTAAAGTTCAGATGTGTGGTACTCAGAACAGAAAAAAATACTATAAATATAATTTGATAAATAAAGTGCATTTGGGACTTCAAAGCAGAACAAGTTCTTCTATGAGGAAGAGAAGTTTGGTGCAATGTTCCATAAATGCCATCTGAGGATATCAAAAGGTAAGGTCACAACAAATTTGAATTTCAAAATATTAGCTCTGAATACTCCCATACAGATAATTAACTGACATTACAGATGGCCAATTTTTTAGAAATATTCTAAATATGGAAATTTCAAATGTAAATCCTAAAAACTAAATTTTTTTAAAGCATTACTTTATTACTTTATTTTTATTTTTTGATTTTTGAGAGAAAGAGAGCAAGCATGCAAGGGGGGTGTGGGAGTTGGAAGGGCAGAGGGAGAAGGAGAGAGAATCTTTTTTTTTTTTTTTTTTAAAGATTTTATTTATTTATTTGACAGAGAGAGAGATAGCGAGAGCAGGAACACAAGCAGGGGGAGTGGGAGAGCGAGAAGCAGGCTTCCTGCCGAGCAGGGAGCCCGATGTGGGACTCGATCCCAGCACCCTGGGATCATGACCTGAGCCGAAGGCAGACGCTTAACGACTGAGCCACCCAGGCGCCCAGGAGAGAGAATCTTAAGCAGGCTCCATGCTCAGCGTGGAGCCCGATGCGGGGCTCAATTTCACAACCCTGAGATCACAACCTGAACTGATACCAAGAGTCGGATGCTTAACCGACTGAGCCACCCAGGCACCCCAAAACTAAATTTCCTAATCCTTAGGAAATTTACAAATAGGGGATTCCTCATTTAAGTAAAAATGTGCTTCTTTCTGGCCTGGTATGTAAGTACTACAAAGTAACAAGCATTTTCACTTTTATAAGCTTAAAACTTAACTAAGAACATAAGGCTTATACACTCAAGAAAATCTGTATCACCATTTGATCAAGTGCCTTGAGAAGTTACAACAGAAAATAGCTGGATTTAGTTAAACTGAACCATGAAGGTGATGATTTAACAGCAGCCTCAGTGAAACAGCAGATTTGAGCTGAGAGGGAAAATGAAGCTGCCCACTCTACATGCCTTAGGTAGGTGACGTTTAAAAAAAAATGTAAACACCTCTCTTACTTTTCTGTTCTACTCTGTTGAGGCGTACACAGGTTCTCAGATCCATCACTTCTCAATGACACGGCCACGGGCGATGTAGTTTCAGCTAGACCCTGCCTCCTCTGATGTTCCGCCATCAGCGCTTCAAGCTGCTTTCTCCTCTGTCGTAGCTCTTCTCTTAACATCTCATGTCTTCGCATTTCTGACCACAGCTATTATTTTAAAAGTCGGAGTCGAGTTAGTATAAATATCTGGATTTGTTTCAGCCTTAAAGACTAAAATACAAAGACTTCTATTCTCACTCTATCCATTTTACATCAAGATATCCCATGGTGAAAATAGCATTTTCGTGATAAATAAGAAAAAATTAGGCATTAATACTTAATGAAAGCAGTGGCCAAATATTTAGAGAAAGGTATAATGTTTTCTACAAATCACATATAAATAAAAGGCCAAAGAACAGGTCTTTCTAACTGAAATGACTGCTGTTCGCTGCAACTATCTCTTAAATACAATTCTGCCAAGTATTTCCTAATAATTTTGAAATTATTTTGAAAAGATCCCAAATTAATTACTTTTTGAAAAAATTATTTCCTCCCAACTAAAAGACACAAAACAGACTGCATTCAAAAACATGTTTCATAGATATTCAGTTTTCCTTAAGATGTGACATAAGACTTGGGAACAACAGGTACAATATATAATACCTCGTTATCTACTACTGAAGAATCTTCAGGCTCAAAACCAGATTTGCTTGTACTGGTTTCATTTCCATTAACAGCTGGGGTTGAAGTAACAGCTGGGATATATTTTTTTGTGGGAAAATTACCCGCACTAGTAGCTGACAGCTAAAAAAGGATTAGTAAAAACCATTATGAGGAATTAGAGCAATTATGTTAATTTCATAAAAGCAGTTATTTTACCATTTCTCTGGGGGCTCTAGTACCATATTTAATTTGTCATTATCAGACCTCAATTGCCATTATGATCCAAAGAAAGCCTGACATAAGAAAACAAAGATGAAAACACAGAGTAAAGTGGATGAGAAGCAGCCAAGCCTCAAGAACAAAAGAGACAAGAGGGATAAAATGCTACTGTGGAAAATTTCATATACTCAACCCAACTCTCGTATATATTCTTCCGGACATCAGACTAGGGAGAAGGGAAAAGGATTAGACAAAGTAGAAAAGGTTAAAAGTCTAGGGGGAAAAAAAAAAAACTGTTACAGAGAAACATCATTTGATGTGTTTCCCTTTCTTTGAAAACAAAACCCGAGGAATAAAATATTTTAAGAAAAATCTCAAAAAGAATTGGGTGTTTGCTCTCTGTGTTAACTTTACTCCTACTCCTGATTACCTGATATGGTCAAAGATTACTCATTCTCTGTTCAGTCCCAAAGGGTACTACTTAATAAGCATTAAGCAAATATTTTACTTAATTTCTTTAGGTAATTCATGATGGTTTAAGGGCTTTATTATGTAATTTTAGGCCAATAAAAGATGGAAATGCTATTCCCTTAAAGGCAAAGCCGAAACCAGAATATTTTCATAGTTATGAACATTCATGTTCTGAATCTAAAGTAGCTAGCCCAACAGGTGAAAAAACAGAAGTAATCAGAGTCAATTCCTACGTGCTATCTTTCATAGTGTAAATGTACATCCCTAACCCGTTTCATTAGTTCATCCGTTTTATTAATCCTAATATTGATATGAATGTGTCACCTCAGTACTAGAAAAGGTAAGAGTACTTTCCAATCACATTAGGTTTTAAACATCTTTTTTCATACAAACGGAAAGAAAGTTCCTAATTACCTGTAAGTCAGGACATGCCTTCTGCAATGCTTGAATTTTCTCTTGAATCTCAATCAGTTTCTTTCTTTCTTCCTGCAATTGTTTGAGTTCTCTCTGTTGCTGCTGTAGTTTAGCCTCATAAAATTTCTCTCTATAATTAAATTGATATTTGCAAACGCCAATAAATCTGATAGCATTAAGCATGACCTAATATAGAACCTAGTCAAGTAAGTACCTTCTCTAAAATAAGCACTAAATTTTTATTAAATGAAGCTCATGAGCTTAACATACCTTGCCTTCTCATTTATTCCAGCATCTTTCTGTGTTTTATTGGCATTTCCTCTAGTATTATTTGCATTTTGTTTGTTGTCTTCTTCTGCTGGGTAGAAATCATCCAAATTTGAAGTATTGGTAGAGATAACTCCATGATCTGCTGCATCATCATCCTAAAAAGCATCATTAAAATAATCTTGAAATCTAAAGGCATTATCCAATTCAAAGCTTAAATACCACTATTCTGTAAAATTTACATGACATAAAAATTAGAGCAGTAGATTAAGTACATGATTTTTAGAGAACATTGAAGCTCGTCCTCTACCAATGACAGGAAACGAAGTACTAAAACAACAAAAAAGTACATTTATAATCTGAGCTGCCAATTACCCACTAATGACTCATGGTAAGTTGCCTTTTCTTATCTTGACCAGATACTGAGCTATTAAAGAACAGCTTTATACAGAATACGAAAAAGATCAAAAACACACCATCAGATATGGGAACTCTTGATACTAGATAATTTTTCGTAGAATGTAACTTTTTTTAAAGATTTTATTTATTTATCTGAGAGAGAGAGAGAAAACACATTAAGTGGGGGGAGGAGTGGAGGAAGAGGGAGAGAATCTCAGGCAGACTCTGCACTGAGCAGAGCCTGACACAGGGCTTGATCTCACAACCTGAGCCAAAACCAAGTCAGATGCTTAACCAACTGAGCCACCCAGGCGCCCCTTAAAATGTAACTTTTACATTAACGATTTCAAATAATCAATGTCCAGTCCACTGTCACTTGCTTACAATTTTCTATTCTCTCACTTTGGTCTTTAGTTTGCCAAACCAGTGCCAATGACTCACAATACAAAAATGAATGAGAATATCTCACATCTGTCATGACTAATGGAAAAACAACTAAAGTTCTCAGCTTCCTAAGGGTAGGTCCCCATCTACCCTTAAAGGTTAGGGGTAACCTTTAAGGTTGGGGTGAACTACTACATTTTTAAAAAAACATTTAACTCCATATAATTTTATATTTACTCATGCTTTCTCTGAAGACCTCAAATGAAACTTAAACCTTTGGAAATATCATTCTAATAAAACCTTAAAGAGTTAGAGCTGACTCAATTATAAAACTGGGTAGACAATTTTAAGTTTGTAGATGGTGTTATCTGGTATTCTTATTCATCTAAAAACTAGCCTAATTCATTCCTAATATGGGTAAGAAGATGGAAAAGAAACTGAGCTGGGATTCAGGAATAGAGAAGCTATAATTATGAGGCCTTTTCACATAATAAAAAGTGAAAAAATTAAAGTACAAGAAAAAAATACAAAACAAATCTGCCTGATGTTTCAGAAGGCAGTGAGAAGGTACCTGAACAACTGAGTTATCAACTCTGATGCTTAAAGTAAGTGACTCAAGAATTATTAACAGTCTTTTGAAAAAATCAAGCAGTATTTACCTGTACCATAGCAACAAGATCTTGCAACTGTCTTAGTTTCTGTTTTGCAGCCATAAGTCTATTGATCTTCTGTTCAAATTCAGCATCTTCAGGAGCCTCATCAACCAGACTGCTCCTATGACTAGTTAATGAAGCGCCACTGACTCCCTCATCTTCTGCTTCTTCCTCTTCTTCCTCATCATCTTCACCTTGTGCACCATGAATCCCCTGTTCTCCTTCTCTATTATAGTGACAATCTGCTAAAAGCAAGTATCAATGAAATCAATAATTTAATAAATTTAAGAGTACTAATTAAAGAAAATCCACTTCAAAAAAACAACATGGCAAAATTATCCATCAATAGTCAATCATACCTAAAGAAGGAGGCATGTTCAGAGCCCTTATGTTGGCAGCAGATCTGTTGTTAATTTCACAATTAGAATTAACTGATCTCCCCTCTCTATTATTAGAAACACACTGAGCATTAGAATTACTATTTACTTCATTCCAAGTGGCAGCTACTTGTGGATTTCTAAAAGAAAGAAAACAGCCTGAAGTTATTTAAAGTAAAAAATTAAAAATTAAAAATTAAAAATCAAAGTTTTAGAACTGCTGATAAAATAATTCTGAACTATGAACATCGCTGGCTATTTCTCCATTTAAATTCATACTCTGAATAACTGGCTCTTGCTTTTCAAAAACTGCTCTTTGGAAATTTAAGAAGAAAAACATCCAAAAAATCAAAGTTACACCTAAAAATAAAGAGGCAGGAAAATGTTAAGTTAGATACTTCTTATGACTTACTTGCATGTGATCTTAACAAACAACAAATTTACCAAACTACTGTACTCAGTGCTTCTCTATTTGTTTTTCTTCACAGGGCCAGTAAGATTACACTGGCCAAAATAGTAGACTTACGCAGACTTACAGGAGAAAAGCTTAAATAAAAAGCAAGTAGCACTCTATTGAGGTTTTTCTGCTCCATATTAGAAGCATTTAGTTAGGAGGAACATGTTAGAAAAACAAACTTCCAAGTTCTTACCGAATGTTAGTAACAGGTTCAGAGTTTTCATGTTCAGACTCGTATTCTGACTCTTCAGTTTCTTCATCTTTTGTGTTTTCATTTACAGCATCTGTCATCATATCTGATGTTTGTTCATAATAATGAACCAATTCTCTTAGTTCATTCAATCTCTTTCGAACTTCATTTAACTTCCTGATAAACAACAAAAATGTATATATAATAACTATTTTAGCAAAATAAAGCATGCAGTATTTCCATATAAAAGCAGCCAGCATGGACAAAATTCAGACCTAGTGCAGTATCAAGGGGTGTGACTATAAAGTTAGGAATTCAATTTCAAGGATAGCTTACTCAATATCTCATCACTCCATTTTCTTATAATCTATTAGAGACAAAGGCATTAAAAAAAGCAGACTTGGTTTCTTAATAAATAGTGAAGTACTAAATATTCAATTTAAATACTACCTCTCAGGCAAATCAGGGATGCAGACACTATTAGACATTTACAGAAGGTTCCTAATCTGTAACACACAAGAGATCTATAAGGTGTATAGTATGTTTACCCCAAGTATTACGTTTATTGAGTTTCTATTAAGTGTCAGGAACACTGCCAATGTTTTTTAATCTGTAAAATACCTTTATGAACAGGTATATTATCCCTATTTTGCAGATGAAGAAACAGAGGCTTAGTGAGGGTAAGTTATTTGTCCATGGTCACACAGCCTTGTAAGATAGAATATCAGGGCTTTCTGACTCTAGGGCCTGGGCTCTGAATTTAGAATCATTTGAATATAAAAATCTTTTAATGCAATCCCACCTATTTCTAATCCTTTAGCTAGAAAATGGGAATGCATCAGCTCACAAAAATTACCTGTATTACAATGTCACATTTCTCTTGGACAACTCAAAGGATGCAGATATAACACACACACACTTCTTCTACCACCTCTTAAGAATATTTAAATTACGTAAATTCAGTTTTTCCAGAATTTTCAACAAAGAAAAAAAACCATAATTTATCCCCATTATTCAATTCTATTCTATGTAAACAATATTTGTAAAAATGTTTTACTGGAGTTTTTCAGTTGGATTTAGATGTCCTTCATTTTCACTCTCATTCTGAGAAACTAGAGAAGCAGCAGGATAAGGAACAGATGATGTGAAGCTATTGGGTTCTCCATTGACAACTGGTGCTAAGCCTACAGGAGCAGAGGGAGCTGAAGTTGTACTTCTCTGATCCACACTTCTTTGTGGAGAGGCTGAAGAAGGCACAACTACCAAAAAAAAAAACAGTTACCATAAACAAACAGATATGGAATCAAACAACACTTCAGTTTGCTTATATATAAAAATAAAAAGTAAAAATCATTAACATCTTACATTCTGCAGCTTTAAATTTCAGAAACGTAAGTGTATAATAGCCAGGCCACTTATTCAACCAAGCAGACTTAGGGGAAAAAAAAAAAAAGAAAAAGGAAAGACAAGGTGGAAATTGACAAAAACTATTATATTCTACCTTAAAAAGTAACCAGTATATTCTTTGATAAACCTGATTCTAGGTTAAGTTAAACAGGGCAAATGTGGGGCGCCTGGGTGGCTCAGTTGGTTAAGCGGCTACCTTTGGCTCAGGTAATGATCCCAGGGTCCTGGGATCAAGCCCCACAGTGGGCTCCCTGTTCAGCAGGGAGTCTGCTTCTCCCTCTCCCTCTGTCTGCTGCTCCCCCTGCCTGTGCTCTCTCTCTCTCTGTCAAATAAATCAATCTTTAAAAAACAAAAACAAAAAACAAAACAAAAGAAAAAAACTTAGGGCAAATGTGTATGATGTACAGCATCTACAACTCTTTACAACCCTAGGGGTTTAGGCCCCAAAGAATGTTCTAAATCCATAGCTCAGAGTAATTTTATCTGGTCTCCAAGATGGAATTTTCCTTGTTCCAAAAGATAAAACAAACTTAAAGTAACTGTAGTACATTCATACCATGAAATACAACTCAACAATAGAATTTTCTAATTAGATGATGGCTTATCTTCTATAGTCTTTGAACTATATGTTAATTACTTTTCTGTCCACATGGATTAAAGATACCTTATGCCTTCAAGGAGAATGAATGAAGATTAAGAATCTCTGCACTTCTCAATCTCCATCACTTTAAAACTACTGTCATTTATCTCTTTCTCACAGGGACAACCATCATTTGTTGCTCACATTACAAATTGCTACAACTGGTTTCCAGCAGTCTCTTTGCTCTATTCCTTAATAAGTTCAACCTTTTGCTACAGCTTTCACATTGTTTCACAGTGTGAAAAAAAATCATTTTTTAGAGTCATCAGTAGGCAAAGTGCTACTTTATCATGTATATAAAACTGACCACCGGGCCTTCAGTACAACTTTTGAATTTTAAGTTTTTCTTAGCTGTGTCCATCTGTATAACATAAGCATTGGGGGGGCATGTGGATGGCTCAGTCGGTTAAGCGTTTGCCTTCAGCTCAGTCATGACACCAGGGTCCTGGGATTGAGCCCCATGTTGGGCTCCCTGCTCAGTGGGGAGCCTGCTTCTCTCTCTCCCTCTGCCGCTTCTCTCTCTCCCTCTGCCGCTTCCCCCTGCTTGTGCTCTCGCTAATAAGTAAATAAAATCTTAAAAAAAAAAAAAATAAGCACTGGGATTAGGTTATACTCTAGAGGAGGAGAGACTAGCAGAGGTCTGGGAAAAGAAAGGAGGATGTTTCAGGAAGAAATACTAAGGTTTTTGGGGGGGGATAGCAGAGAAATAGGAGATGGGTAAAGAATAAGGAACAGGGACTCCAGAGATGTTTTTCCTATCCCTTGTCTTTTCTTTAATAAGACAGCACCTGGAATGTTGAAGAATTATGACCAGCTGGAGTTGACCCTACTGATCAGTTTCCCATGCTAGAGCTCCTACTACTAACTGTTTAGGTAAGAGGCAAGGACCAGGCTTGAGAAGGTGTGAAGACAGCAAATGAGGACTAGTAACTGGATCTCAATCAGACAGAAGCAAGTAAAACATCTTGCAGCAGAAAAGGTGGTTCCTAAAGTGCAACTAGTATGACTATGCTCTTCCTATTCCTCCTAAGTGACCATATATTTCCAAAAAGTTATAAACTTTTCAGTTTATATAGTCTACGTTATAAACTATATAAGTCATAAATTTTTTGCACTAAACCATACATATGTTTTTCATGTCTTTTTTTTATAAATACTTTCTAAATCTATTCAATAGTTTTTAAATCAAGGTACCAATTTGGATTAGTTTTCCTTTAAGGGAAAATGTGAATATGCTAAAAAAATCCAGGAACATATGTTCAAGTATCTAATAGTTTACCTTCTCTTTTTCTTTACCCTGAATTAAAATCCTACCTATTTTTCAAGGCTTAAGTTTATTCTTTACCTTTACTGAATTATAGGAACAGATCTCCCATCTATTTGGTTATCATCGTATATTGACTTGTTACTTAAAAACTATCCCCATGCAGGGCGCCTGGGTGGCTCAGTGGGTTAAGTGACTGCCTTCGGCTCCCGGGACTGAGTCCCACTTCAGGCTCCCTGCTCGGCGGGGAGTCTGTTTCTCCCTCTGACCCTCCCCCCTTCATGCTCTCTCTCTCTCATTTTCTCTCTTTCTCTCAAATAAATAAAATCTTCAAAAAAAAAAAAACTTTCCCCATGCAAGTCCTATCTCTCCTCAAATAATGTAATTTTCTTGAGGAAGTATGAGTTCATTCATTCATTCACCAGGTATTTACTAAATTAAATACTGCATGCCAGCACATATACTCATGTGTCCTCTACCTAATACTGCTGAGCCGGCTTTACTTACATGATGAATTGTTCAGATGTTGATCTCGAAGTGTATGAAGTTCTCCAAGCAGTTTGTCCATTTTTTGTTTCTTTTCCTGTAATACTCTCATTTTGCTAAAAAGTTGTACTTTCTCATCAGGTAAGCGTTCTGAAACTGAAGGATTCCTGCTCTGGGAAACCTCCCTAGTTAATGAAAGGCTTTCCGCTTGTCTTCTATTGTCTGGAACAGTTGGAGGCTTATTTAAAATAAAAAAAAAAAAGACGATCAAGGCAATGAAAGGTTTGATTCTCATTTTAAAAACACATAAATACTCTTTATAAAAAGCAATAAATATTTGCCTAGATTGTGCTAGTGGGTAAGCATACGCCTTTCCAATTCCCAAATCACATACTATTTCCTGATGTGCCACTATAACATCTATATGGTTTTATGGACACATATTACTACGCAGTGGTCTTGAATTCACTGGACTGAATTACTATCTGGATCTAAATTAAGTGCTAGAAATGTCTTTATAAGCCTTATATAAACTTATATAAACTTTCAAAAATCTCATTCTCTCTCTTGCCAGCTTTTTACAATCATCATAAACTTTTTCTTAATCTGTCAGTTTTTCCTAGCACTTCTTTCCTATGATCCTCTACTAAAATTTTCAAAAATCCACTACGGCTTAGGAAATCATAAAATGAACACCACTGAGCTTAAATTTTAACATTTTGCCACATTTGCATCAATTTTTTTTTAAGAGAAATATAACATTACAGATATAAGCTCTATACATACCAACGCCCAATCTCATTACTCTCTCCAGAAATAAACACAATTACCATCATCACATATGTTTATATATTATTGTACCTACATAAGATATACATCCTTCATGCATTTTTAAATATTAATCAAGCAGTATCCTTCCTAAACACGTGTTTTTCATTTATTAACTCTGGCTCATTTACTGAACTGGCTATAAGATTTCTACAAAGTGGTAGACCATATTCATTTATTTTTACCCGGTCAGCAGACAGGAGACATTGAATCTTCATACTCATTACAGTGAAGAGGTAATAATTCACCCTTTCTTATTCAAGGCCCATAGATTGAAATTTTGCATTTAAATCATTACTTACAAAGGTCACCAAATTGTAACACTTATTAATTCTGAAATTAAACTTAAGAACTTTCTCCAAAATCGTCAGTAAAATATTTAAGGACACAGATTCAAATATAACTTAAGCTTTAGAGGTTATGACCATAAAGAATCTTTGAGAGGAAAAAAGAACATATTATCTAGTAGCATTCAAGGAGAAAGTTTCACTTATCACTGCATTCACATAGATTTTCCTCTAAGTAAGTGTTTCTCCAAGTATACTCCCCAGACTACCAGCAGTGGAATCACACAGTGGGGAAGCCCACCTCAAATGTATGAATCATACATACTTTGGGAGTGAGGGAATCCCAATGATCAGAACACTACATTTTTATTTTATTTTTTTTTAATATTTTTTTTTTTTTTAATATTTTATTTTTTTTAAACAAAACGCCAGGTGATATTTATGCTACAGTGAAGTTCGGGAACCACTGGCTTAATTAATATGATTTTAAACTCAACTATACTAAAAAAATTAAATTACCTGAGAATCACGAAGCTGATTATGAAAACGCTGAATTAAATCATTCAGTTCTTCATTTAGTTCAGAGGTGATACTAACTCCAGATAGGCTACCTGTAGTTTCTGTTACAACTGGAAAGAAAATTAACAACTATTCATTAAAGCAAACAAATTAATACACTTTTCAATTTCTGAGAAGCTAAAAATAAATTCGGGGGGGGGAAGGAATTTTAAAAAATCTTACCTAATTTAAAACTAGTTAACCCTCAGATTTACCTCCCAAACAATCATTTTAATAGAAATTTCCATCTAGGGGTACCTGGGTGGCTCAGTCATTAAGTGTCTGCCATCGGCTCAGGTCATGATCCCAGAGTCCTGGGATCGAAACCCTCATCGGGCTCCCTGCTCCGCGGGAAGCCTGCTTCTCCCTCTCCCACTCCCCCTGCTTGTGTTCCCTCTCTCGCTGTCTCTCTCTGTCAAATAAATAAGTAAAATCTTTAAAAAAAAAAAAAAAAAAGAAAGAAATTTCCATCTAACCTGAAGACAAAGGGACACAGAGAAGTCTAATATAGTGATTCATCTTTTTCTGTCCCATCACTTGAGGAGGGATACTGCTACATTCCAATTAAGAATAATGACTCAATGGAGTAGGGAGAGGACAGGCCTATCAGGTTGGGTTGGGGGAGTGGCAAGGGAAAGTGGTTCATCTGAAAAAGTACAGCTGATACTGACAGGTCTCAATCCCCACCTCCCCCAAACAGAATCAATGCTGTAATACAGGGGCTGGCAAATTTTTTATAAAGATTCAGACAGTACATATGTTAGGCTTTGTGGAAATGGTTTTTGTCTCAACTACCCAACTCTGCCATTGCAGGGAAAAAGCAACCACAAATGATACATAAACAAACAGGCATGGATATGTTCCATAAAACTTTATTTTAAACAGTGGGCCAAAGCCAGCTGGCCATAGCTTGCTGACCCTTGCAGTAGAACAGATTATTTACTGAAGTAATTGCTTGTGATACAATGCAGACTACAAGACCATAGTTTCTATCCTCCTACGGCAGTATTCCTGAGGCAGTATTCTGAGGACAATTTTGATAACGGGTTACTGCTCTACTACCCAACCACCCTGTGCTTATCCTTTCCAGCTCTAAAAGAGACACGGGCTATAAACTGTTTCTGTTTTAAAAGAAAATACTAGCTTTTTCAAAGAGAAATTAGAATTTCAGGGCTAAATAGAATCCCTTCAGCCCTGAGTTAAGTGCAAACTCTATTTTGAAAAGAAAGAAATTACAGTGTAGATGACTAACACACACTGCTAGTTGAGTAAAGAACAACTCTTTCCCATGACTATTACTTAGCCTCGCTTACATACCAGAATATTAAATACTATCATTCTGGTTTTTCATCAGAAATCTCATAAATACAAGAGAAAATGTTTTAAAATTACTACCCTAAAATTCTTTTTGAGATAATATAAAAAATAAATTTAATCTTAAACCTTTGTTCATTCTACTCCTGGTGTCTGCCTCATTATACTTTAAAGAAACAAGTTCATATATTCAGAAAAAGAAGACCTCTGACCTAGAATTCAAGAAATCTGATTTTACTAATATGTCATAGAAGTATAGGCAAGTCACAAACTCTGTTAGAGCTCCTTCTCTCCCAAATGAGACTAAGAAAAAGCTCTGGAGACTAACCTACAATTTTGTGATAATCAAATGAGATGATATAAACGTTAAGTATCTGAAATAACATCACCACCACAGGCATATCTCTGAAATCTAGAACTTGAAAAATATTTAAAATACTTTAAAGTCATTAGCCATTAACTAGTATGTCATTGTTTAAACATTTTTTTATTCTAAATTACCTATTCCCTAAATATAAATGTAAAAGCTAATGAATTCTGGACTTTACAAGGGAAAAATGTGTTGAAAATGTATATAATTATTACTGTACATATTATATATAATATACAATTATGTAATTATTACAAAAGAATAAGTTACTTGCAAGTCATACAGTTCCATATGAAAATGCAAAATTAAATTATGTATAACAGTGATCAGAGGGCTAAGCCACTGGGCTAGGTGTGGATAGCAGCATAAATTAAAGAATAACAAGGTAACCTCAGTGAGGACCTAAAATAGAGAGCCCACAGGAAATAAATTATTATTAGACTAGGATGATAGACTAGAAAATAGACCTTAGTTTTACTGAGTTTTAATAGGTAACAAGCTGTTTTCAACTTACTGAGAAATTAAACAGGTTTGAAGTGATAAAACAAACTATAAAATTAGACTCAATACTAAAGAATTCAATACAATTTCCACCTAAATGATACATGGCTATGAAGGAAGAAAGAAAAGTGAAAAAAACATTTCTCAGTCTCAGGAAGACTATATATAGAATATAAACACTGTTCAAAGGAACTGGTGTATACAACTGGGCACCTAATTGAAATAACAGAGCTACTACCAACATTAGAAGCTAAAGAAGCTCTACAAATTTATGCACTGTCTCCCTTAATGTTTTGACCTTTCCTTGGTAGGCAAGACAAGTATAGCAATCCCAGATGAATAAAGTACAAAAAGTGGGGGGAAAAAAAAAGAAAGGAAAAAAAAAAAAAAACATTAAGAGCCCTATCAGTGTGAGGTACAAAAACAGAACTACAGCCTGTCCCTTTTACCTCTTAAAGGTACTCTCTGATGAAAAGGAGAGCAAGCTGGCTGTCTGCCCGGTACAGTATGATGGCCAGGAGTTGTCCCTGCAACCTCTTCTGCATAACCAGAGAAAAGCACAGGACAGGGTAAGCCTCATATGTAGGTTTCTAAACTAGTCAATATAATCAAGACCTGATCATATAATAACCAGCATCCACCTTGCAATACCATTATTAACTGAGCCTTACTTATAACAACAACAAGCTACACTGTGGCATACCAGAATCATCCATCACAGCAATAGCTTGCTCTGCTTTGTGCTGCAGAGCAAGAAGAGCAGCCTGTCTTCCCTGCAGAGCTCTCAGTTGCTCCTGCTGTTGTAACATCCTTTTTAATAAGTCATGTTGTTTCTTCAAATTTTCTATCTCTTCCATAGGCTCCTGCTGAGGATCTCTGGCCTGGAAAATAAGACCAACAATACTTATATCTGATTATTAAGATTCATGTTCCTGTTTCAACTACCAATGGCACAGTACAGACACAGATGATAAATTAGTATTAAATACACAACGGTAAATACAGTTTCAGTAGACTTGAAGAAAAAAAGAATAAGAATAAAACGATAACACAGAGATATCCTGCCATGTTGAGTTAGGTAGTTAGGTAATTTCACAGTAAAAGATCATAAGCAGTAGCTTAGCATGAAGAGGAATTAACAAAGAAAAAAAAAAGGCATACAAAAAAGGAGGTCAAAAGGCCAAAAAGAGCTATACACACACACACACACACGATCCACACACACACACACGAGCCAGACCTTATAGAAAAGGAAGAACAGATCATACCAGGTTAATGTCCTAAAAATATCCTTGAAGATCATTCTAAAAAACATTCTGCCCCACTTCTAGAAGTGATGTTAAAAAATACTAATAAAACAAAAATGAACCCACTATTTTCTAACCAAGGACAAAAATTACAGAAACACTTTTATTTGATAATTTGATGTAAGTGGCTTTCATTTACTTACATCTCATTTCATAAGCATAAAATAAAGCAGAAAACTTTGTTTTGTATCAAAGATATCATTATGTTTTCTTTTAAATTATGCTTATTTAGCTGAGTCTGAGAAATTAAATAGAATACTTTGAAATTCCCTCCAAAAGGTACCATTTTGCCTAGACAAACAAGATTAGATAGATGCCACTTTTAAAAAATTATAAAATGTTAAGGATTAATCTTAAAACCAGTGAAATTTAACCCAACAAGAAAAAATAAAAGTCAATCAAGCAAAGAAACCAATTTAAATACAACTTGGGAAAAATAAAGTATAAGCCAAATTACATATGAAATGTATATATATCATATTAGAATTTTTCATCATTGATCTACCTTTTTAAAAAATCTTATATTTTAAAAGTTTAAAGATTTTACCTAATATTTACACAGAATATTTCTATTAACTTAGAAACATTTAGTCAATTTTAAACTTGCATTGCTACCAAATTTTGGTTGGGGTTATATAGATTTTAAGTGACTAATCCCAACTACCAAAGTTATTAAGAAGAATAAAGAAGTTCAATAATTTCATTTCAAAGTAAAATGCACTGATCTACTTTCTCCATGTACATGTGATTCCTGGAAAAATTATGGAAACACAGATGGCTCCACAGAGATTCCCTCCTGGGTGACATCCTTTATCGATACTCTGCAAAAATCCCTTCTCTTTACCTTCCCAAGTGAATAAGTATATGGCTCTAAATTAAACACTGGAAGAAAGTAAGATCAAATAAGGAAGTAGAAAGACTGTGGTTGGAATATCTGATGCACAAATCAGAGAATTCAGTCAGTGCTGCCTCTATCCTATATTGACTGACTAGACTTCATAAACAGGGAAGAGAAGCAACTATCTTGGTCAAAGCAGTACTTATTAAAGATTTTCTGTTGTCTTGAATTTCCAAAAAACTAAAGCCCTTTTCAAATTAACTACTGTGTACTCAGTTCTCTCCCCACCTATACAAGTGGAGTTAAGTTGCTAACACTGACATTCATTCCTGTTAAAATTCATCTTCTTAGTTCTGGCTTATTTCAATTTATAATCCTCCCATCTCTCAAAAATATGTAGTTCACACTTCAAGGTAACCTTAAAGCTCTCTAATTTTAAAGAATTTACTAAATAACATTCTGGTTTTTTACCCTTTAAGCAGCAAACTTTTAAGAAGAACTTTAATCCTTGTTAGTCATATTTTCTTTTAGACTGTATTTACTTATTTTACTTATTTGAGAGAGGAGAGAGAGAGCATTAGAGAGCATGGGGGGGCAGGGAGAGGGAGAAGCAGGCTCCCGGCTGAGCAGGGAGGCTGAAGGGGGGGAGGGGGGAGGCTGGATCCCAGGACCCCAAGATCATGACCTGAGCAGAAGGCAGAGGCTTAACCGAATGAGCCACCCAGGAGCCCCTTGTTAGTCACATTTATTTGCAAAACTCTGACACTCAAATTATAAAGAATTCTGAACTATTTATTAAAGGAAACACAATTACCTCCAGATTCTTCACTAATCTAAAAATGAATTCCCAACAATTTTGAAATTAGTAGAGTTTATTACTGCTTAATAACTTTTGCATCCATTTAAATAACACTTCAGGGGTGCCTGGGTGGCTCAGTTGGTTAAGCGTCTACCTTCGGCTCAGGTCATGATCTTGGAGTCCTGGGATAGAGCCCCGCATCGGGCTCCCTGCTCAGCAGAGGAGTCTGCTTCTCCCTCTGACCCTCCCTCCTCTCATGCTCTCTCTCTCTCAAATAAATAAAATCTTTAAAAATAATAATAATAATAATAATAATTAACACTCAAACTAATATTCAGAAAACCTGAGCTGAGGGAGGCAGGAAGGGACTACAGTCAAATGTAAAAAAAGGGAAAATGAGAAAATGGAAATAAAAATACCTAGGGATTAGAACATGCCAAGCAGATGGTGCATGGAATAGGAATCCAAAAGGGAAGCAAAGAATATATTAACCCTTCAAACACATAATTTCACTTAAACTTTGTGAGTCACCTCCAACAAGTACATTTTTAGTTTATGGATAAAAAAATTAACTTAGACATGAAATCCAAAGCTGCATACAGGTAACAGTTCAATTTCAGAAAACTCTGTCTTCCTTTCCTTTAGAAAAATGAGGTTCCTCCAGTAATTTTTCATGGATCCAAATTTATTTTTGTAGCTGAAAAGTACTTCAGATAATATGTACTCCATTTTTTCATGTGAAAGGTGAGGAACTATAAGCCCAGAGAAGATAAAGCTGTGATTTAGCCCATATCACAGGGCAAGTTAGGTTCCTAAGTTCTAGGTTGGTGTTTTCCACACCACACTGCCTGCTCCAAAATTATATGCTCAGTAGTTTTAAATACAAAAGTCTTAAGACACCATGTCTGAGGAAACATAGTCTGGTTTGGGAGACAAAGTTAGCCCCCATGAAATAACTAGAAATGATGAAAATAATAGCAAAAAAAGAGTAGATAATATTTTAAAAAGCTTAATAAAGTCTCTAAAAGCCACAAGTGAATGTGCGGGAAAGAGGAGTATGGGAAAATAATGAGGGCACAGGTACTTGTGGAAGGCTTCTTTTTTAAAAACTATGCAAAGTGTCATCATGTCTATAAAATATTCCATAAAATGGGTTCTGTCCTTGTAAGCAGCTGGAAAATACCAACCATTTCCTATCAAGCTACCACTCACAAGGCTGCTTTAAGCTCTGAATCTCAACTTTTTTCCTACTCTCCTAACAGAACATGACATCTTGAAAAGATGTTAAGTAGGGAATGAAGGTGAGGTAGGGAGAACACAATTCTGCATAGCAGAGGAAAAATAGTCAGTTGGTGAGAATGAGGAGTTTTTTCTAATAAAATATTATGAATAGAGCACTGATAGAACTACCCTAGGATGGCCCTAAAAATCAAAAGATTAAAGAGAATCAATTGGAATAAACTCCAAGAAGAAAGTTCAATAGAGAGTAATATTCACTTATAAGGCTATTATTCAAGGAAAATGAAAAACAGAAAAATGTTTTTTAAAAGTAAATGTATCACCTTAGGAAAAAAAGAAAAGCTGGCAGATTTTACTGTTTGTCAATGTTCAGAAAACTTAAAAGGAACAGTAAGTTCCAAAGGATATTTACTGTGTCTCACACTTTTTCTCCAATGCCACTCATTTTAAAAATAATCAGCTATTTAATTTACTATTCTGTTGTGTTGGGCACCTTTTGCTTAATACTTCATAGTGAGATCATCTTAGTTGATTTCAAACTGTATCCTCAAATTCTTATGGGAGCCAGAAAAAAAAAAAAAAAAAAACCTGCCAAAATACTTAGAGGTTTTGTCATTTTTAAGCAGCAAAAAGAAAAAAAAAAAGTGCATAACCAAATAAAGACCCTAGTATATTAATATAAGCTAATAAAACATAAGAAATTAGTCTAATCGATACTTATTAAAATAGTATTTTACTCTTGCAAATGGGTATGAGCACTTTCTTATAAATGCTTTTATTGAAACTTCTTTTAAGTGTAACTACACAAAGAGCTGTCTTTAAACCTTTCCTGAGTGCCTTTATGCAAATCATGGAAAATTCAGAGCAAACACTGGAGGAAAAAAACCAGCAGAAACATTACCAAACAAGTTAACTTTTTTGCTTAAGTATTTTTCTAAAAAAAAAAAAAAAGAATGGAAGGGGTTTCCAACAAGAATCAAAATAAAAACCACAAAAGAAAAAAAAAGGAAAAAAGGCACTATAAAAATACTTCATTCTTAGACAGGAAAGCTAATAGCTTACTCCATTTTCTTTTTCTTTAATGAATGACTGCAAGAATTAAGACAAAACTTAAAAGTACCACGTTCATACACGAATACAAGTATCAAGAAACAAAAGGCAACTAATGGTTAAGGTTTAAGAATTTCTATTTTGAGTTCTCAATGGCAAAAAAAGAAAATGGATTAAGTCCTTTGTTAATGCAAATTAACTACAGCTGCCACATATAATCCACCGGGAGGAGTATAAGGAAGCAGAGAAAAATAAACACACTAAGGGATAGCATTTTACTAAGGCAAATTACAGTATAATTAGCCGTGTTAATAGCTTATATATTTAAGAGTAATAGCAACAACAGAAAGGCAAATAAGGAAGAGGAAATGTGAACAAAAGAGGTGCTCATTTAGAGACTTCCCAAATAAATATTGTGAAATATACCTTTGAGGGAAATCCACGTTTTCGGCTACATTTCCTATTAGGCCTCAGTTCCCTGTCATTCTGAGGAGGTCTGTCACCTTTCCCTTTTGGACTTGTGGTAACGTCAATGTCTGAAACCTGTTCCTGTGAAGCTGAATTCCCTAGTTTGTCCTCAATGCACGGCCGAATTCTCAGACTAAAAGATGCCTCCTTTATTAAATAGTGTAGCATATTAATTTCTTAATACAAACTCCTGTTTAACATACAAGCCAGCCTTGTGAATAAATACAAAAAATTTACCAGTTCATCTCTTTAAAAATCAATCCACCCTTCCCCAAGTGGCAATAAACTTAAGACTTTTAGATTTCTGTAAGACTAGACTAATGCTTACTATAATCAAGTACCATATCATATCCTAGGCAATTTCCAAACTATACAACTGGAGCACATTTTAACATTTATTCTGCTGTTATTAATATCAATTTTCATTATGTCATTTTATGTTATGAAAAAAATTCTCATCACAGTGAACACTACATATGCTAATATATAAATCAAAATAACCAACTATACCATTTCCCACCCCTCCCCAACAGAATTCCTTTACCCACATTCCCCAATTCCTCCATTTCTGCTGGAATGAAATGTGAGGAAAAAAATTATTCCCAGCACCACTGTAAACAGAAAAACAATTTCTCCACAAAAGAATCTATTTTCAACAGTTGTTTGGATCAGGCCCTCTGAATATCTATCTCCTGGTGAAAATAATGTAGGACAAAAATTCAAATTTCCTCTTCAAATTAGGAAGGGCAGGGAAGAGAAAGGAGGCAGGTAAGAAACTACACAGGTCAACACTAAACGGAAACAAACCCTCAAATTTCTCATGCTGAATGGTATTTTGGAACGTTATCTCAGAAACAAAAGATGGACATACATGGTTATCATTTCATAAGAAAAGCTTTACTGGTAACAGGTTTTCAAGTTTACTAATGCATGCTTATAGGTGCACCTGTTAAAATAAAAATGCTTAAAAGCATACCAGTTTTGAAGCACACTACCTTCTATGAATTAAGTTTATTTTACAAAGCTTTCCTCAAAGTTCTGTAAATTCCTGATTATTTTTCCAAAAGATAGTATTTTGATAAATTTCATTTTGCAGAGTTAGAAATTTTATTTTTCTCACCACAAATAAATCATAATGTAAATAATACCCTGTCCCAATTTCATCTCGATGTTTCAGTCATCTGGTTTTGCTACAGTTCAAAGCTAGCCCGAGGTATAAAAAATCCTAGTAGCCTTCAAATGAATCCTCAACAGCAAAAGAACTTGGAGATTTTTCCAAGAGACAATATACTTGTAGTAATGATATTTTTGTACTCCTAGCTCTTATACTCATGATGAATTTTAACTTTCCTAATGCTTCTTAAAATGAGTAAAGCTGTGCTTAATGAAACCAACAGAAAAACTGTTTCTGCAAGCACATCACAAATTAGATTTTTAAATCAACCATGAAAGTGTTCAATGTTAGTAAGTAAAACTTCCATACTTCCATGTTTTAAAACAATATATACAGCATTAACAATTTGAGGGTTTCTTCCCTGAAATATACTTTTCATTAAAGAATGCCTATAAAAAATATCATCTTGAAAAATGGGGGAAAAGTTTAAATCTTCATTTCCAGCACTTTTAATTACCAAAAAGCCGCTTACCGTGGTATCTGAAGCCTCAGACTGCACATCTATGTTTAGCGATGTGCTCTCAGCTACAGAACCAGATCCCACAGCTGAATCTATAGTCCGAACATCCTCCTCCTCATTTTCTCTAGCCTGAAATATTTTAGTGGTATAAATCATACAACTATTAAAAAGGGCAATAAAATGTTATAATGGATGGCACGATTTTTTGAAAATATATTAACTCCTCTGGGATGGAATCAGAATGTCATCAGTATACGTACACTAATATACCACAAAAATAACTCAACACATTATTGAAAAGGTCCAAAACTTACAAGGATTTTTTGAAGAAATTTCATATATGACTTTTCTTGTTCTTTAAGGTGATCTATTAGATGAGTAAGGCGCTCAACATTAGCAGATCTTTCATTTTTCTCTACAAGATCTTCCCGCATGGAACTAGCTTTAGTAATATAATCACGAATCTGAACTAGCCTGCTTACAATCTGCATGAAAAACATTTGAGGGGAAAAAAAAAAAACACGAAAATAAACAGTACATAAAACTAAGCATAATGCATTCCACAGCAACACTTCTACATATTTTTTATTTCACGTATAGTCTAGGTTTATCGTTTTATGTGCAAAAGATCTGAATCAAATTTAGAATTTAACCAAAACTTAACTGACAATACTAACAACTCCAATTACTATGAATTTAAAAATTTCAAAATTAGTTTTAATTTACATTACCCAAAAAATTTCACTTACAGAACTGTATGCCTTTAAACTACAATTTATGTAAATTTTTTCTAATGCTTACATACTATTTCCTTCTAAGTGAAAGTATTATACTTTTGAAGGTACTTTTCAAGAGAATTATATAACCATTTAAAAAAATTCTTACAATCTACTAATCACATTGTTTCAAACTCCTCTTTACTAAAAAATTGGTACACAGCCTTTGGCAGGTAAAGAAAAGCCTTAATTTGTAATACGCCATTTCTACAATCATTTTGGGTAAAGAGAAATTTACACGATACTGAATAAATCTGAGAGAATGAGGAGGCATGTCCAGAAGTACTTAGCTAAAATTCCTATGTGCATAACCCAATAAAACTTTCTTAATCTTAATATTCTACTTTGAAGCTCATGAAAGCAAAGAGGAAAACAAACATTTTTCACCTGGCTGCTCTCCATTGCAGGCTCTCCTCTTCCATCTTCTTCAGAGACTTGACAGTTTTGCAAAAGGTCATTACTTAAAGCAGAGGCAAACAACTCTTTACATTGTGCTGATCCAATCATTTCTCTCTTTGGAGGACTTAGAGCAGCATCTTTGCTCTTGTTCGTATTAATCTGCATAGGCAAAAAGTTGAAGGGCTTTCGGTTTTCACTAAGCTGACGTTTGTTGTTAGCAGCTGTTGCTCTACCTTGAGAATCACTTCCAATGCTTCTCTACATATGGAAAAGAAACCAAATCCCACAAACATTAATTTTTCAATAATTAAAAAAAAAATTCCAATGTTCTTAATCAGTTTTACCATCAGATATTGATTCAGGAAGTATACATAAACAGCTCTGTCCATAAGATTCAAAAGATTCAAATCTATAAAAAGTCTTTTACTAAAATATCAAAAGGTGATCAACTCGTCCTATTCCTCATTTTGTCAGACATAATTCAACTGATGAATATGAGCAAGACCAGTCTAAATGAAGTACTAGGACTACAACCCTATTTATAACTCACATTGCTAATCATACTTGTTCACCGATTTTGTATGGGCTTTGGACCCAATGAGTAGATCTTAATTAATATAAACATCAGCATTAGGATGTGTCTAGATGAAACACTGCCTGAAAAACTGCTCAGCTCAGTGCCTGGTATATAGTAAATGTTCAGTAATTATAAACAGATGACTAAATGATGTGATCACCAGCACCATCATATCAGACTTGAACATACCTTTATGCATATTTGGTAAACTGTTTATCTCTCTAAAGCACAGATGTGACAATAAAACATTTGTTAAGAGCTCATTATCATTTACCTTTACTTTTAGTTCCAAATTTTATTTCAGTGATTATAATACCAACCACAGTTTTATTTTAAACTTGAGTAATCCAGAACATCCCACACTTAGCCAATGATAAATATTCTACACTGGATCTGCCCTTTTGCTTAACAGCAATCTTATTCAGTTACTAACATGTAAAATTTAGTTCCAGGATGAAATGATTTACATTAGTCATAGAGTATTAGTAATAAAGTCACAGAAGACTTGACCTTAGCAAGTCTAGAAACAGTTTTTTTTGCCCTCCACAGAACACAATACCACTGCCACTAATTAAAATTCTTTCCATATACACAGAAACTAAGAAAAAGGAAATAAAGAGCTCACTTTTTATTCTTAAGACAAATTATTTAATCCATTCCAAATATTTCCCATAGTTCTAACTTGATTTTTGAAAGTAATTCACAAACCTGATCTAAATCACTGAAGTTTATGCGCTGTTTAAGTTTCTCTAATTCGGCCTGCTCTGGAACAGACATCTGAGTCACATATCTACTATGTGGAAACGAATGTGGAGTCTTTGTTCTTCGCCTTCCAACTCCTGGTGAGGACTCCGGAGAAATATCATTAGTTACCCTTTTATCACTTTCTACACCAAACTTTTTCTTATTCTTTTCTGATGATTTATTTGCTTTCTTCTGTTGGCCACCCCAATCCTTTAAAAAAGTAAAGGCAAAAATTAATCTGGCCTCTATCAAACCAGGAAAGTAATTTGATATGCTTAAAAATTTTCAGTCTTAAAGATAAAAATGACAAAACATTTTTCACGGAAACATATAGCCTTAGAGACAATTACTTACTGTTACTAATGTGTCCCCCCCGCCATTTCATCCAGCCTAAATTTCATAGACAGTCCTTCAGAAAATAGATTACTTTCTTATCATTCTTTAACAAACATAAATACCAAACTCCAACCCTAGAGTCAATCTGAATATTTTCAAAAGCATTTTTAAAAATGGTTCCCTACTATTTATAAATTGGAGAGTGAAATAAATTATAGATACCTTTACTGGCCTCCTTTAAAATCAGTGTGTATAAGACAGATTCAGAATCAACCTGGATTCTAAAGTAATTATTGTTATCTGAAGAAATGCTCACTGTGACCCTAGGCAATTTACTTAACTTCCCATAGTCTCAGTTTCCTAAACTCTAAAATAGTGTCACCTTTAAAACATAATTAAAAATAATATTCATAAAACATCTAGCACAGTGCCCAGCATATAGTAAGAAATAAACATAACTATACTTACTTTGCACAGGCAATAATGTATTACATAATAAGACCTTATATGAAATGACAAAAACGTTTCATGTTTTAATGGGAAAACATTCTTATTTACTGAGTTATACCCACATAACCTAAATCATTCAACAAAAAGGTCTATAAATTCCTACCTTATTCATATTGGAAGAATCATTTAGTTTTACTACAGTAAAACCTTTTGGGATATTCTCCTCATTTATAACACAACTCCCTTCTCTACAAACTGTCCCTCCACCCCCATCCATGTGTGGGTGTTCTTGCCAACCTGTTGTTCTACTTACCCTACCCCTTCCTGGCCACAGATGATTGGAAAAGAGATGCATATCTAATCCAAATTGGGATAATCATACTTTAGAATTTTAAATTGGAACTAAAAGATAACTAGTCAGGATATAATTGTAGCGATAACTGAAAACTTTAGAATGAAGGGTCAGCCATAGTACACCACATGAACCAGAGAAGAGAGAAAGCTGGTCTGCGAAAAGAAAGTTGTGTTAAGCAAAGGCACTCAGAAGCAAAGAGTCAGGGCAGTGAAAAAGCAATTCTTGACAATTTTCTGGTTCCTTTTTCTAGTCCCTTCCTAAAACCCAGCTACAGTGTTTTAATTTGTTTAACTTATTTTCCATAAAACATCTTTATATACTTATAATAAATCTCCTTTTTGGCTTAAACTAACTCATGTTGATATCTGTTACCTGCAAACAAAAATGTCTTCAACTAATATAACAAATAGCCCAGGGTCATTTAATGTCTTGGCTAGCAAGAAAAAAATGTGTTTACAAAGAGTCTCATGAGTTTGATTTGACTAAGTCAGGGGAAAGTTTCATTTTATCATTAGTAGTTAATGGATACACCATCAATAATAAGTTATCATACCATATTGTTGAGTCGGTCATCAACACCGTCACTGCTCCAGTTTGGTAAATCCTGATCATTCACACCTTCTTCAAAAGGACCTCCTCCTGTGGCCATCCTGGCTTTACTTAATTTTCTGCAAAACAAGTGAAAACTAACATTTTTAACACATAAAAACAAACTCTTAATCTTTAAATCATTCCAAGAAGCTTAGTGACATAAAAGAATCTCAAAAAAGTTGATTTTATGAAATAAAAAGAGGTAGTGTCAACCACACATCATAGACAAATTGATTTAGCTGCCATACACATATTATGATTAACATGAGTTAAGTAGCTGGAGTGATGGGAAAGGGAAGGAAAACTTTAAAATATCCACTATGTGTACTGGCCTGCATGCTTTCAGACTATTTTATTTAATTAGTTGAACACAGTCCTAAAAGGTAGAGCAATGAGGTAGCAAAAAGTTATTAATGGCTAGAACCAAAACTGCTCTTAGGAAAAAAACCTCATGTTCCCAAAGACCTGGGAATTTGGTTTGTGTCAAAGTTCCAAGGAGCGCAGAACTGCTCTGCATGGAGAAAAGTTTGGTTTTAACAGGAATGTAGTGGTAAACAAGATAAAGAGAAGGCAGAGAGAGAAGCAGGCCTTGATCGGTGAATGGGCAATAAAAGCCAAGAATACAGTGGCCTAAAACATTTAAGAAGAGTGATGCCTATTGCTTTACTTTAAATTACACTGCTGCTACCTCACAGTTTTCCTTAAATCTTGACTAGTCTACCAAAGTCGCAAATTCTCCCCACTAAAAAAAAGAACTAAGGATTTTGTGAATATCCAGGAAGGTACTGAATTTCATACCTGGGTCAAAGAGAAGAGGAAAGAAAGAGCAATGGTAGAAGCAGACGTTCAGAAGCAGAGATGATCAGCAGAAAATGAGATTTCTACATAACCTTGTGGAGGACTCTGGCTTTCCACTAGGTGTGGAACTGCTCAAGTTGGAGAAGGACTGAGCGAAAGAGATGGACAGATTAACTTTATCTAGAATTCAAGGGGCAGAGAAAGCCATTAGACAGTAGGGTTATATTGGTTTCTGATTTTACAAATAACACTAACATTCAAAGAAGTTAGATAATTTCTCCAAGGTCATTCAGCTAAAAATGTCAAAAAGGAATACATATCCAAGTTATCCCATTCACTAGAGCAAAAAATTAAAAGCATTATCATCCACGACAAAGTAGGAATTATCTCAGATGTGTGAATGCTAGAATATCTATTAGAATAATCTATTAATAAATTCCAAAGAGGTTAAATTTTATCATCTCAAAAAAATGGTGATAAAATTCAACCCTTAATTTGAAAAAATCTTAAAAAGTACAAATACACTTCCTTACAGTTATACTTACTATTATACTATTTGGTTTTTTTTTCAATGAGCACATATTACTTTAATAATTTTCTAAGGAGTTGAAAGAAGTATATACTTTAAATCAACAGTCATCAATATTAAAATAAGAAATGAAGGACATCCCAAATAAAATAAAGATCAAAACAAGAATGTCACATATCAGTTATTTAGCATTGTTTTTAAAGTTCTACAAAATGGAAAAACATGAAACAGAAATATTAACACTGAGAAGACAAAAGGTGGTATTCTTAAAAATATGCATTCATAGAGAACTTCAATATATCACCAACAACCACACAGAAAATATACTGGAGAAAAATGATGCCACTTAAAATAGTGACAAAAAAAGAAAACATCTAGGAATAATGTAAATTTTGCCCTAAATAAAGAAGCACCAGTAAACTATAAAACAATGTAAGAGAAAATTTACTAAGTAGAAAAACAAACTACCTTCCCTGATGGGAAGACAAATTTTATAAACACACCATTTTTTTTTCTAAATATAGACTTAATGAATTCCCAGTGGGACTCTTCTTAGAATCTGACAAAACAAGTCAGTACAAAAAATTTAATATCTGAAAAATAAAAGCAGAAGTAGCAATAGAGGTTGGGAGAGTAGAAAACTAGTCCCAAGAGATATTCAATCATATTTAGTACTTATATGATTAAATTAGTATTAGCCCCCCTCCCCCCCACAAAATCCTGAAATATATCCAATTAGAAAAATGTAATGAAGAAAATTAATCACAGCTAACATCTATTTTAAACACTATATGCCAAGCACCATGCTAAATATTTTATAAGCATTCTATCATTTAATCCTCATAAAAATACTATGATGTAGCATGATACAGGATTATTCACTTGATGGGACAATTTGCTAATAATTTTAAAAAAGATTTAGAGATTTAACAGCACTTCTCAACTAGAATCCTTCATCTCAAATACAGAACACAGAAAAATGATGAGTAACAATTTTTTTCAGTTCTCCCAAGGATGGTACATACGCAGTACCATTCCAGACACAGAAGAGAAATTAATTCACAGTAAACAATAGATGCCTTAGAGCTTAATTCTCTCCCAATTGAAAAAGGCTGCCTTATACCATAACACCAAGATAGTAAGTAGATTAAAAATAGATCAGGAAGATTAAAATAATCAAACAACAGACAGACAAGAAAACAGGATTGGCTTTAAAAATCGAGATCTTACAAATCTGGAATGCAGAAATAAAAGGGAAAAAGTTTAACAGATTTTATTCACATAAAGTAAATCCCAAGTTTATGGAGAAAAAATAATAGTAATAGTAAATGACAAATCAGAGGGAAAATCTGAAAGAAATATGAAGTATACAGTCAATATCTTTATAAAGAATTTATGGGGAAAAACAAGAAAAATAGAAACACTAAAAAAAAAAAAAACCCAAACCCAAGAAAAGTAAGTAGAAACAAGCAATTTAAAAAGAAGTCAGTAAGCATAAAATGATAAAAATATTAACAATAAAGTTCAGCTGCAAATTAAAACAAGGGACTATTAAATTTGCTATATTACACATATTTCCTAATCCTGATGACAGCAAAGGGAAACTGGAACTCTCAGTCACTATGGTGAGAGCGTAAACTGGCATAACCTTTCCAGAAAGCATTTTGGCAATACTGTATCAAGAACTAAAATGGAGTTTTGACCCAGTAATTCTATCTCTCCAGAGCTAATATAAGAAAACAAACTTAAATAGGGGGGAGGGGGAAACTATAATGCAGGAAATAGTTTATTATGCTATAATTATGATAAATTGAAAACAAACTAAATGTTAAACCACAGGCTGGATGCTATTAGGAAACAGTACCCTTCAAAACATATATAAATTATGAAGGCTGAACAATATTGCCTGTGTTTATATCATAGAGTATAAAAGAGGAAAAAAAGCAATATGTAAAATTGCATGTAGATTTTAAAAAACTAAGAATATATACTAAAATGCTTGCATGAAAGCAACTGTTGGTTGTGGGGGTAGGAATGTGATACTTTTTCCCGTCTTCTCATATATTTTTAGCAATACTTTGCATTGTTTTTTACACTAGAAATATATTTAAGAACTTTACAAAATAATTGATACCCAAAGAGAGGCATGTCCAATGAGCTGAGATGACGTTTAGATGAATCATTTTGCACCTGCTATTTCCTAGATGTACCAATATAATTTATAATATTAAGGAACAGGCACTCCAAAAACTACATATGCAGTAGAGGCAGTACCATCTTCAAAAGTACTAGAAGCTAACTGTAAAACATAACTTAGAGTGGGAAGTTATTAAGGTATTCAAATAAAACTCTTACATGCCATTTTTTCCTAAAATAGTATATACTATGCTTTCTATTAGTAGAGTAATAAAATTTACTTTAAGATAAATTAAAAATATATTTGGAGAGATAATGTTTTATATTTTATGTTTATATTATGATAAATTCCTCCTAAAATGAAGAACTTCTTCTAAGAACCTATTTATAGGCTATATGACTTTGAACAGTATTAAGGTAAGTTTTTAAAACAATTTAAAAACTATTAAAATTAGTTTGGGAAAAATAGGTCAGATCTTTTAAAAAAGTCTTTTTAAAGACCACTTACTATATAAAGTCTATTGAATTTACAGAATAAACAACTTTGTCTATAGTTACATTGTGATGAGATAAACACCCATATGAGGACAGGATATTTAGTAACTTAATAATGATACCAAATGTGTTTAAAAGGCACACTCCTATACAAGTATTACTACGAAGCTAAAGAAATAATTCAATGTAGATCAATTCTCAAAATAGTAACAGCTGATTTATCTAAGAGGGTAAAAATCTCCCCCCATAAAATGTAGAAAATACAGGCAAGTATCTTCCTCTCCTTCATGCCAACCTCTCTAACCACCTCCAAGTCATCTTTAGAAATAGGTGCCTGCCTTCCAAATTTTGTTCTGTAGACACATTGTTATTATTCATATAGTTTTTATTATTATTTTAAACTATTATATGGAAAGACTTCTAATAATAAAATACTAGGTATGTGACAAGAAGACCAATTCAAGTAGGCTTCCAATGGCAGAATCAATAGGATTTGGTGACTACTATGATATGGCAGTGAGAAAGCTGTTCAAGGATGAGTCCTAGGTTTTGAGCTTGAACAATGGGGTGTAGGGTGATACATTCACAGTGACTGGAAAAGAAACAGATTTTTGTTGAGAGAATATGACTAATTCAGTTTTAGCAATGCTGGGTTTGAGGTGAAATCTAGGCTGGAGATTTGTAAGTCATCTGCTCAGAAAAGTACTTGAAGTGGCACAGAAGGCATTGGGAGAAAAGGAAGAGAGTAAGACTGAGCCTGGAGGAACATTTAAGAGACAGGAAAAGAACACTGAAGAAGGTAGAAAAAGACAGGAGGGAAACCAGGAGTATGTGCTAGAAAAAGCGAAGGTGTATAAAGAAGGAAGATATCAGTAAGAATGCCAGATGTTACTCTGTTACATAAAAAAAAAAGTACTAAGAAAGTGTCCACTTGGATATAGCAACAAAGAGGTTACTGGTGACCTTGGTACGAGCAATTACAGCAGGCTGGGGAGGGTCAATCCCATAACTGTAATGAGTTTATTGATAGGAAGAAGCAAAAATAAAAGAAGTCATTAGGTAATTTTTCCAAGGAATTAGTCTATGAAGGGAAGCAGACAGAGATGGGCATGAGGAAAGTTTTGTTAAAAGCATGTTTAAAATTTGTTGGCCAAGAGCTAGTAAAGGAAGATCTTGAAGATGCAGAAAAGGAAGGAGATAGTGTGTGGTCTCTGAAAAAGCAGTAGCAACTGGGTCCCTGGGTGTTAAGAAAAATGATGGACTTGGGGCGCCTGGGTGGCTCAGTCATTAAGCGTCTGCCTTTGGCTCAGGTCGTGATCCCAGGGTCCTGGGATAGAGCCCTGCATCGGGCTCCCTGCTCAGCGGGAAAGCCTGCTTCTCCCTCTCCCACTCCCCCTGCTTGCGTTCCCTCTCTCGCGCTGTGTCTCTCTCTGTCAAATAAATAAATAAAATCTTTAAAAAAAAAAGAAAAAAGTAAAAGAAAAATGATGGGCTTTAGACAGAGGAACACCTCTCTCTTTGAACAAAGGGAAAGGAGGGAAGGATGGAAGCAGATGGAAGCTAGTTAGATCTGTTGGTAGGAAGCTGAGGGAGTCTGTAAGTGATGTGAAGTAGAAAGGATTGATCCTTAAATGTGAGGGTGAGACAGCAGTGTCTGAGAGATGTGAGAAAAGTAAAGGAGAATGACTGTGGGCAGCACTAAGGACTCAGGTGAGAGCAGAGAACATTCACAGATATCACTAATCTGCAATGTGAATTTTTTTCCCAGCAGTGCTCATCAGCCCTGGTAGAATACTCCACTGAATCCATCCAAGGTGGGGGATTTTGCCAGGCAGGTTTAATAGAAAAACAATAAAATGGAAAAGCTGAAGCCACTGGAAAACAAACAGCACAAGTCATAGATGATGGTATGGGAAGAACAGGGATAGAAGTAAAATTCTTCTACTTTAACCAAGCACTTCTACCCATGCTATGACCTACTAAACTAAGTTGAAACTAATTAGAAGTTTCATTTAGCTATTTTTGACAGCCCTATCTGGCTCCCTTATCTCACAAAGATACAAAATGCAAAAGTACTATGGCAATTTATAAACTTTCTGTGACTGATCTTTTTGAAGAAAATCCTGTCATAGGATCCTTACCATAGAAAAGTATTTATATATATATAAATATATACATATAGTTATATACATATACTTTCCTATTACCACAGAAATACCTATGATTGACCCAAGGTTAATTTTCGAAATAAGAATATAAAGAAAAAACTAGTCAAGTTAAGAAAAAACACTATTTTTCTAGAATCTTTAAAGTCAGATATTATCTCTGAAACGGCATTAAATTACTCCTAACCACCTCTGGAAATACCATCTTGACAACTGTAAATGAAGGTTTTAGAAATTACTCATCATAATAAAATTATGAAGGAAGTACAGTTTTTTTCTAAATACTTACTTAGAGTCACAAAATAACCAAAGGTGGTCCTTTATATATCTGTACAAGTTTTCTAAAGGTTGTTTTATTTAGGGTATTTCTTTTACTAACTATAAAAATACCTGGTACACTGTTTTGAAAGTCTTCATACAGTGTCCAAATGTACTAAACACTTTTAATGGAAACTGAGAAGAAAATGCATAAGTATTTGGTTTTATGTGTTGTTTAGCCAGTTTCATTTGAGGAACTTCTCAATTTCTTCTCTGTGCTTAAGATGGTCAAGTACCTTAAAAAAAAAAAAAAAAAAAAACACATAGGATCTTTTCCATAGCACTTTCAATTTGAGAATTTCTAAAAATTTCAATTAATTTTTTAGAACGTAAGATATCTCTGTAAATACCCTCTTCTAATTAAAAAAACAAAAACTGTTAAGACATTGGGGGGGATAAAAAGACGGCAACAAAACACAACACTATCTGAATCAACAAAAATCTTATTAGACCTCACTATGTACCAACTATTGCATTAGATCTATCTTATGATATAGTTATTCTGTGTAGAGCATTTCATATCAACAAAATATACCCTTGCTCAGAGAAATGAGAACACGGAGGTCAATTAAATTCTGCTTGCTAAGACCTCTCCCTCCCTATAATTTATATTCAAAACCTACCGCGTCCTTGTCATGGGTTACATATAACACCCAAATAAATCCATAGGCCTGCTACCACCATCAACTTGGAATCTGTCTTCGCTACCAGTCCCATACTCACTGTTATCAGGTCTTCCTATCATCCCCTTCCACTGGACCATTACAAACAAACTTCCTATACATCCTCCATCTGTTCCCCAATATTCCTCCTACTTCTTCCGGTTCAATAAAATCCCAAATCCCTCTAAAAGCACTATTTCCTTAGCAATCCTTTCCAAAAGGGGTACTACTCTTCCCCGTCCCCCCCAGATTCATGAGGCAAGGATCACATTTATAGACCATTCTTATTTAACTAATGCTTATTAACCTTCCTCTTCTGAACAAATTAGTCATCAAAAATATCACTCTCCCTACCATGGGCACCACTTCCTATTGTCCTCCCCAAGACAGTCTTGCACTTTTCTTGGTAATAACTGTCTCACAGTTTCACCCTCCACATCATTCCCTACTTTCCTGATTTTTCTAAGACGTGAATTGAGATCCAACATCCCTCTCATCTTCTCTATTCCAATACTGTTTCACTCTGGACTGGTAATTTGTTCAAGATCCTGAAGTTCCGAAAACCCTTCTTCTGATCATAAGTCCCTGCTTCCTACTTCTCTCACTTCGTCATTCCTGCTGAACCTGCTCTTGACCCTACTGCAAACTTCCAGTCCCTTGGTCATTCTTCTTCCCAGGAATCCATTAATCCCTTGCTTCCTTACTCAACCCCAAACACAAACCCAAGTAAGTCATTCCAAAAATGCCTTGCAAGCATCCTTGACTTCCTCACCTACTTGCCCATTCTACCAATTCAATTCTGGATAAACCCCACTACCTGCTCTCTTTGCATCTACTCACAAACTGTCAAAGAGCAGAGAAATAATTACAAAATATCATTAGCTATGTTCACTATTAAGGTATATTATACTGTACACACATAAATACACACTTTGAAAACATAGGTTTGCTCCATGAGATAAGGCACCTTGTCTGTTTTGCTCACCTCCATATCTCCAGTACTTTACAGTCATTAAGTCACCCACTGTAGGCACTCAATTAAATCTGTAAGATGAATGTATTGCTAGGCACTCTGCTGGCTTCTAAATGAATTCCTTAGTGCGATTATTCCAAACGCTTTCTATTTTTCCCAAGTGCCAAATACACTTGTCTCCTTTACAAATGGCCAAATCCTCTAATGAGAAAATCAAAGTCTTCTAAGGTGAGTTAACATAATTGCCCTATATTTTTATTCCATCTCATCCATCCTTCCTAACGTGTTAAAAAGAAAATTATTTTATAACTGGTTTTATAATTCTTTTTATTTTACTAAATGCCAGCTATATCACTCTAGTGTTAAGAACTCTACTACACACTCACATTTGACATTCCCTGATTCGATTTTTCTTGTCCTATTTGTCTTCCAATTTAAAAAAATACTGAAAAGTATAATAAAGATATAAATCAACTGCCAATCTGTATTTTCTCATGATAGATGGCTTAGTTCATAAAGGAACTAAGGACCTATCTGCTTTCCTGGAAAGCGAGGATATATTAGACTATATTCTGAAAATATGTTGTCTTAAAATTTTAACAGTGGAATTAAATTCAGACTCTGACACTCTTCCTAAAAAAGCAATTATTTCTAAAACACTTTTTAACAAAAATTTCTTCTGATCCTCATCCTTTAGTCATTTAATTTCTAAATTGTCCCTTAGCAAATAATTATTTAACTTTTCCCCAATAAACTTTCCTTGACTTTTTTTGCTGGTCAGAGAGCAACTGTACATAACCAGCATTTGACAATGCACTGTGCATAAAAACTAATGTTTAACTTCAGACACCTAAAAGAAAAAAAGCACAACTTCAGTCAACAGTATATGCAACAAGCTCAAAAAGTAGAGAAATTTGTGAATAAAAATTTTGCAAAATCAATTAATAGAAAAGTTGTAGGAAATGACTTAAAATTAAATAGATTTGGAAAGAGAGGCATATCCAGTAGCTGTTATAGGACAAATTCAAACTCAAATGGGCTGAAGAAATTCTGTGACCAAAAAAAAACATTTCAAAGGCATTGTTTAAATTATTCTAGTATTTAATAATTAGGAATGACATGGCTCTTTTCTAGCAAAAGTATGAAAGCAGACCAAAGTGACATACCAAAAAGCAAGGCACACAGGGCAGCAAACCCAGAAGGTCTGTTTACTAAATAGAGTGGGCCCTCAACCATGCACTGCTATGCTGATAGCAGTCTCTATAACGTTATAAAGTCTTCCAACTATGATACAAAGAACAATAACATAGGGGCACCTGGGTGGCTCAGTCTGTTAAGCGTCTGCCTTGGGCTCAGGTCATGATCCCAGGGTCCTAGGATGGAGCCCCACATTGGGCTCCTTGCTCAGTGGGGAACCTGCTTCTCCCTCTCCCTCTGCCTGCTGCTCCCCCTTCTTGTACTCTCTCTGTCAAATAAATAAGTAAAATCTTTAAAAAAAAAATAAAAACCAAAAGCCAGAAAATAAAACCCCCAGAAAGAACAATAACGTATATAATGACAAATTACCTGTTTAAAAACTAATTTTACAGCTCCAAAACGGCTCCTTCCCTGCTTCACACTTCAAAGCTGTTGCCTGCTTGTGATTTAAAAAAAAAAAAAATCACTTTAGTGAATTCTTTACTTACACTATGAAGTATAAATAACAAATACTATATATATAACCTAAAATGTTTAGAAAAATGAACAAAAAAGGAAACATTCAGCTTATCAATATTTTAGACTGGTTACTTTAATCCTTTTGGAAAACAATGTGATATACTTAAATGTTTAAATCCTCCAAACTTGTAAGATTCTACCAAACCACAACGTGATCGATCAGTTAATATAGCTACTTTGGTAGGTAATAAAAATCGTTAACCCTAATTACCACGTAAAGATCCATGACAAAGTTTACTCCTCATATTGTCATTAACTTTCTGCCACTCAAACTATCCAAGAACTTTGTATATTCAATGATTAAAAAACAGATTTACTTGAAAGCTAGCTACTTAAAAAAGCTACCTGGTTTCCAGGACTCTCACCAATAAGGTAAGAGGCAAAGAAAAGAGCAGGTGCACCCGAAGCTCTGCAACACCCACTCCAGTAACCAGAGAATACCAGAAGGCGGAGTCTGGAAAGCAGTTATGGGGCGGGGGTGACAGGGGCGCCCAGAAAGCCCGCTTCTTCCAGTGCCAAAATACGTTACTCATAGGGCACAAGACGCAAACCTCAAACCGGTCAAAAAAGAAGAAAAAAAGAAAAAAAAAATCGAACAAGGTGAGATCCTCAGGAGTGGGCCGCAGGATGAAAAGTTTGGATGACCCGCCTCCCTAGCAGGGCCTACTATCCAATCCCCAAACACCAGTTTCTGCAAAGCAAGCAGTGTTTCCCGAATCCCACTTGGCATTTAGTTTTCCCCGTCTTAGGCCCTTTCTTACAGGACCTACAGTAGGACATGGAGAAGGGGAGCAATGGGAGGGGGTAGGGAAGAGCTGTTAAATTATCATTCCTCTCGCAAGTATAAGCCACCTCTTCGCCAAAGTCAGGAACGCCTCACCACCCCCCCCCCGCCTTTCTGCTCTAAGAATACCCGAGACAGCAAAATCCGCCGCTCGCAGCCCAACGCAAAAGTCCTGTCGCTCCTCACCTGGCCTTCTCCACCCAAAATTCTGGACATCGAGAGCCCCACAGAATGGAATTTGGGAGGGGGGGTGGGAGCGGGCGCAGTCACGTACACCAAGGCCACTAAGGCCCCTTGCTATGGAGAACTACAGCCTGTCCCTGGCGACCAAACCACAGCCCCCGCTCCGCTTCCTCCACTCGCAACGCACATTCCCCTGGAGCACCCGAGACGCAGGGCGGCCTCCCGCTCCGGGCCAGAAAATGAGAGGGGCGGGGAGGCAACAAGAGGGTTCTGCAGTCGCTAACGCGTCCCTGGACGCTCACCCGGAGATCGCGTCGTTCGGCCCGAGGTAAGGGGCGGGCTGTCTGCCTAGGGGACCTGAAGCTGGCAGCAAGAAGACCCAGAAGCCCACGAAGAAGCGTGGGCCCGAGGCCAGGCCCGACAGGGTCAAGCGTCCCAGAGCCGTTGCTCTCCCGCCCCTGCGCCGCGCTGCCCTCGGTTGCCAAGGGCTGGGGACGCGCAGCATTACCTGTAAACGAAGCAGCCGCTCCTGCCAACGGTGGAGTAGCGGTCAGGCCCTACGACCCGCCACCGGCAGCGGTCCTCCCTTAGAGACCGCAGCAGCGAGCGCCCACAAGTTCCCTGGCTGCCTAGGGCCCAATGGCCGCCTTCTCTACCTTAGCGCCAACCGCCGCAGCTACCGCCATCTTAGGATCTCATTGTGGTGGGAGAAGAGGGGCGGGGGGACTGCAGAGGGGGCAACGCGCCGAGAGACTGCGCCGTCTCCTCGGCAACGGCCGCGCGGGGGCGAGAACTCGCCGGGGCGGGAGCCGCAGTGCGATCAACGCTCTAGGCTGGAGTCATGTGACCGCCGGAGTCTGTGGTGTCACCTCGGGCCCTTCAGCCTGGCGCCGCTTACACGAACGACCAACCAGAGACTACATATCCCAGCATGCCAATTCGACCCTGGTTTATAAGCGTCCGCGCGTCGGCCACGAGAGGGTTAACTACAAATCCCGGCATGCTGTGAACATCGCGGCGCTGCTCTGCGAGCTGGTGGCTCCGGAAGTAAGATTGAGCCTCCTTCTTAGCTGGAAAAACTGAGGAGAATCTCCTTCGGGTTTACTGTGTGGCTGTCAGCTCCAGATCCTGCCGGAGGGAGGGGAGAAAGACCTAAGTCGCTCCTCTGGTTCTTGCCCACCCACATCCGGGTTACGAAGAGATGGAACCAGAAGGGCCTTTACGGTCTAGTCCTGATTTTACACGGTGGAGATTAATCACGGGAAGTTAATTGGCTAAACCAATTAACCATATAGGTAGTCAGTGGGAGAATCCTAAATGTTAATAATGAACACCACCTTGGATTAATGTCCTACTTTTTGCTTGGAAGAACCAGATGATTTTAATCAAAATCTAGTATAGGGAAATTTTCTCTTAAAACTAGTCTCTGAATTCTCTTTTGATTTATGCTCCCATCTCCGCGGTGGCTCTATCAGAGATGGTAAATTGACAGGTTCTCTCTTGGTTAAAAAAAAAAAAAAATCAACTGAGTGAATCCTGAGATCTAATTGGCTTTATTCGACAATTCATGAATTGAGCAGCATTCCATTCAGCAAAGAGAAAGGAGATCCTTAGAGCTGTAGAAAGAATGTTTTTAAAAGCAGGAAGGGGTGGAAAAAGGAAATTATTAGCAAAGAATGCATTGTTTCTGGTAAGGTTGTCTTCCTAAGTGGAAAAGAAAGCCCTGCCAGATGGATTACTGACCTACTGATGACCAAGTCATTCCAGGGTGACTAGTTAAAGGTTATATTACCGGGGTGTTGAAACTGCAGTTAGGTTAGGTATTAAACCTTAGTTGGCTAATGTGGGGTTTAGCACACATGACTCCATTTGGGACCTATTTCCTTTTTAACATTCCTAACACACTGGGGAAAAAAAAGTGATCATGACTTTTAAGGCCTTTAGTGTGACTCCCTGAAAAGTTAAAACACCTTCAATTTTACTTGAGTGCAAGAGTATTCTATTTTTAGAAAGTTTGTAAGGTGAGTTTGTTTTAAGCAAAATAAGAGTAGAATGAATAATGGACATTTAGGTTCCAAAGCAAATTGTTCTCAATCACCAACAGATATTATTCAAAAAAGCAAGTAAAAGAATCCTATCTCAATACATAATTCAGGTAAATAAAACTCTTCCTGAGACTGTATTCAGATTCAGTCTCATTGCGATGATCTTTGACGCTATCATATATTTTTTAGTGCATTCTGTGTGTCTAACGTTGGTAATTACTTAGGTAACAAAAACATAGTCCCTGCCCTTGAAGGGCTAATATTTTAGTGAAGGACTGAGAAATAGAATGTGATGTAAATAAATTCTGTTTTGTAAGAATACAAAGTGCTGTGGGAATCCACAGCACAGAGTGCTCTAGGCTCCCTTCTAATTCTACCACCCGATAGCTCTACAATCTTGGGCAAGTTTCTTAACCTTTCTGAGTCTCAGTTGCCCCATCTATAAAATGAGGGGAGGGAATAATATTGCCTACCTTGCAGGGATTTTCTTTCAAGTAGTATTTATTTTGTAGAAGGCAGAAGTTAGGCATTTTATTTGTTGTGATTTTCTTAATTCTCCCAACTATCCTGAAGAGATTGATCCCGCATTTGTTCCATTTTAGAAACGAAAGGTTAAATAAATCACCAAAATTCTGACAGCTCCAAGTGGTAGAGCCCAGGTGAAACTGAGGTCTACTGAACTCGTTGGAGGGATTTTTGATTAAATAAGAGAATGAGTGGAAAAAATTACTAGCATATGGGAAGGACCCAAAATATTAGCTATCTTTATTATCATCACCATAATCATCACTTTGTTTATATATATATTATTTTTAAATATGTAGAGGCTATTGTCATTAAAACAACTCAAATGTTTCAAAATCATTACTTAATATGGTCATTATGCTTTTTAAATTTATGGTCTCTAAAAAATGTCAATACTATTATATCTGTTTAGTGGGGGGAGGAGCCTGAGGAATGTTTATATTAAAAAGAGATCCTCCAACTCAAATATGAGCATTACTGATCTTAGCAGAGAACAAGGGAAAGAAAAAACCTGAAAAACTATAAAATTATTTCAGATCTCCCAAACCTTAACATCTAACTCAGAAAATAAACCTTAAGCAAACGAATCCATTTAGTATCAGTAGTGTATGAATATGGCAAATAAATGATACCAACAGTAAATGCTTTAGGAATTCAGAGAAAGAATATTGATATATTGCCTCAAAAATAATGATGGCACAGTTTCTGTGCAGAATGAAATTAGGGGCAACAGTATAGTGGAAATGTAGATGGGGAATGAGTGGTCTCTCAGAGATACATGTTGAAACTCTCAGTTTCCCATATTTAAGAACTTAATACATGTATTAAACAAGGGAGAGGAGGCCCAAATGGAAAGAAGCACACTTAAAACACATAGTACATCCAGAATTAGTGACAGATAATGCAAAAACCAGATGGAGTGAAGTAGAGGATTCATGTGGGATGGGGAACGGGGAGGCAAGAGAAGAAAGCAGGACTGATGAACACGTTTCTATGTGTTTTGTACAAACTGTAGAAAATCTTAAATGTTGATCCTGAAGAGATTGAGCTTTGTTCTGTGGATAGTGTAAAATCACACTGAGTCTTTAGAAGAAGCAATGATATAATGAAGTAGTTATTTTAAGACTTTAATCTAGTAGCAATGTTTAGAACAAGCTAGGGAGAGCGGGAGATGAGAACAGGTGGTAACTGGCATGAAGTAATTAAGGCCTGGCCTAAGGTAGTAACAGAATGAATCGAGTCAAGGAGTTGGATTCTGATTGGTTGTCACGCTGCATAAAATAGCATTTTTATATTTAAGATGACACTGACCAAGGGGGGGCTTACAGTAGAATATTTTGTGCTATATTATTTATTTCTTTAATGTGTTCTGTGTTCTTTCTGCACAGGACTTAAGTAGAGTGAGAGCAGAAACCCTGCCTTTTGTAGTTCTTTATTATCACAAATGCCTCGCAGAGTTCATTTACTGTATTTTGATACTCACGAATTTGGTCTTTGAATAAACAGTTTTTCGCAGTACCTAGTTTTAACCTGAAGGTGGTGATAGAACTTAAAGGAAAAATCTTTAGTGACCACTATACTATTATAACTGAATTTTATGATTGTTTTTATATATGATTTTTATGCACCCAAGAGAAAATTTGACATTTGTGTAAATTATAAAACACAATAATAAAAGAAACACTCAATAACCCACCACCTAAGCTAAAACATAGAATATAATCAATTTACTTAAGGACACCTCGTGCTTTTCTCCAAGCTCATTCCCTTTTGCAAACATAAATACTATCCTGTATGATCTTGGTGCTATCATTCTTTCATTTTTCTCATATAACTATATGTGTATATATCCCAAAATAATGTATTGTTTGGTTTCATTTCTTTTCAAGCTTTATATAAATGGCATCATACTGAATATATTCTTGCTTGACTTGCTTTTTCATTCAGCATTGTTTCTGAGATTCATCCGTGTTGATGGGTGGAAACACAAAGTCTTAAGGGCAGAATGTAAAATTAATTTTGGAACATTTCTAGAGTTGAATATAAATGACATTATCTTTATTCTTCATATTAGCTTTGTGAGTAATTTGATGGAGGAAGGAACTGATTATATAAACAAGGGATCAGTTGAAGAACTCTGACCTAGTTCTTATATTTTTTTGGTTAAATTTAAACACTTCTCTCCCTTCTTCATCTAGCCCAGAGTTTCTCAATCGTGGCATGATTGACATCTTGGGCTGGATGATTCTTTGTTGTAGGGGGCTGTCCTGTGTGTTACAACGTATTTATCTGCATGCCTGACCTCCTTCCATTAGATGCCAGTAACACCCTGCCTCCCGAGTTACGACAACCTAAAGTGTCTTCTGACATTGCCAAATACCACCCACGCAAGGAGGGTAGGGTAGGGGGTGAGGGCAAAATCACTCCTGAGAAACACTGATCTAATCTTTACATTGAGAAAATCATGTTACTGTGGATTTTTCTTATGTGCCTCTTTTGCTCAAAAACCTAAACTTTTGAATAATCAAATCAATTACTATATATAATTGTAACAACTAATTATATCAAATCTACATACATAAGTAATGTTTCAAGGCTCTTCTTACCTTCCTCCATTTTCCCCATATCTAATTACCTTGACATCTCTCATTACTGCCTAGTTCAGAATTTTTATGACTAGATTCCAAATACCTAATTGCTGCTCTCTAGACGTACAATGTTAATGTTTATACCACTCTGAACTGGCCTTTCCTCCATAACCAGTTTGTGTCCTTTTCTTTCAAAAATCACTCATTCAATAAATGTACCCTTGTGGTTCTGACAATTCTAACCGTATTTGCATTTCATCAGTCTTAACATGGCTCAGCTCCTATAATTGCGATACACTATTTCTTATATATGCTTCTGTATATATTCTTGGGGGTCTATATATTTTTACCCCACTTTCTCTATTCATCATAAGCCAGATCAGAGCCACCATAGTGTAATCCTGTGTGGAATGCTTGCTTCCCAGGACAGCAAATTAGAGGGGCTTAAATAAAGGGATATAATAAAAAACTACAAAGAAAATCATCTATACCTTACTTCCTAGCCTCCTATCACCCCTACATTATATGATATTGAAAGTATTAAATATACACAGATTAGGTTAATTAAGTAGACACATCAGACAATTAGGGGGAGGGTTCCCAAAATATGAAAGTATAGGCTGATACAGATTTTGCTTTCTAATTCATATGAAAAATATTAGAAA